CATTCTCTTCTCCAAACTAAGTATCATCAGTTCCCTCCACTGATACTGTTTTCAAACCCCCAACCATAATGGTCATCCTGCTCTGGACTTTCTCTAGTTTGCCAATGTCTTCTTAAAATGTGGCACTCAACACTGAACACAATATCCCGAAAGTCTAGCAACCAAATACAGGGAGACTATTGGGGTCCTTCAGAGGCAATCTAGTGAAGTAAGTGTCCCACACCATGGGACTTGGGGTGACGAGAGAGACATGAGTTTGAATTCCAATTCCAGCATATGTAAAAAGTCAAATCACTTAACCTCTCCGAGCTTTAGAAGAGGACCATTCCCTCTCTCTGCCAAATGTTGTACTACAGCTTAAGATGGACACAAACACAATGTTCAAAATAATTACTCTTTTCTCTCGGCCCGGACGGCGGCAGCATGGGTAAGTGCCATGGTCTTCATACTGCTAGAAAACCCCGAAGCCACAGAGAGACCAAAAGTGGCATGACAAACATTATAAGAAAGCTCATGTGGACACTACCTTAAAGGCCAACCCATTTGGAGGAGCATCTCACGCAAAAGGGATCGTCTTGGAAAACGTTGGTGTGGAAGCCAAGCAGCCCAATTCTGCCATCAGGAAATGTGTGAAAGTCCAACTGATTAAAAACAGCAAAAAAATCACTGCCTTTGTTCCCAATGATGGCTGCTTGAACTTTATTGAGGAAAATGATGAAGTTTTGGTTGCTGGATTTGGTCAAAAAGGTCATGCTGTGGGTGATATTCCTGGAGTCCAATTCAAGATTGGAAAAGTTGCAAATGTTTCTCTTCTGGCCTTGTACAAAAGCAAGAAGGAAAGACCAAGATCATAAAAACTGCATGATGTCTTTGCCATAGTAAAATATTTTCATGTAATAAAAATAATAATAGTAATAATTACTACCTCACCAAAAAGTGGAAAAAGGAGAATATTTACCGGGACATACAATCTGAAAAGTTGTTAGGTGATATATAAAAAAGTCAGATGCCATATACCATATCCTACCCCCAATTTATAAATTCTCAAAGTTACTTATACAGCTTTTTCTATAATAAGGCATACCTGTGCAGGAAGGTTGCTGAGAGGATCAGAGGATTATGTACAGCTTTAGAGGTGGAGGGACCTTAGAGGTCCTCTAGTCTAACCTCTTCACTTTAACAATGAGGAGATCAAGATCTGGAGGTTAAGTGACTTGCCCAGAGTCATACAGAGATGAAAGAAGAACAATACACACGGAAAGAGAAGGACAGGCCACAAAAAGAACCATGAGGCTACAACACAAGCTTCTCTGAGACCTCCTAAGGCCATGAAGTAGACTACTGGCCTCTGTTCATTCACTATGTTAGCTGCCAGGTGGCACCAAGGAAAACCCCAAAGCAGAAAAGAAATCCCAGTTCTCCCAGCTTTTTAATACACTAGGACTTAAACTCACAATAAGTGGTATGAAAATTATAACTACACCTTCCTAAGATGACACTAGAAAACAACAGTTTGTATGACATGATACCTAGTGGATAGTTGCTATACATTGCTATGGAGTTCTGTTGCCCAGTTTTCCTAAGCCTAAAAACAAAATCTAGTATCCTGCTCTTAGGACAAATTTGTTGGCTACCATCAAAAGTAATCATTCTCCTTAAGGATATCTTTCTTGCGATCAGTTTTTAATAGTGAAAATAAAAATCTGAAGAAAAAAATAAAATGGAAAAAGCAGGAAATAGAGTAAGTTTCACATTAACCTAAATATGCCACCATTTTCTAATCCACTTCACTAATGCCTTAGGTCAGAAGTGATTTCTCCCTCCTTGGTACTCTAATGCATTTTGGACCTCTCATATATATTTGGAGTATACTTCGTATTATAGATATTTTTGTATGTCTTTTTTCCTGTACTTGTTGGTTGCTATTCAGTTCACCCCACGGGGGGTTTTCTTGGCAAAGATACTGGAGTGGTTTGCCATTTCCTCCTCCAACTCATTTTACAGATAAGGAAACTAAGGAAATAGGGTTAAGTGTCCTGCCCAGGGTCACCCGGCTAGTAAGTTTTTGAGGCCACATTTGAACTCAGGTCTTTCTGACTCCAGGTCTGACTCTATCCACAGCGCCACCTTACCTCTACTAGTTTACCAGTTCCTTAAGGAAGGGGACCATGTCACACTTATTTATCTCCCTTGATGCACAGTACTTTGCACATAGCGATGGACTGGATGTGTGATTTCACTAATATAGGGAATTCCTGGGCAAGGAACCTCCCTCAACTAATGTAGGATAGCACTTTCTCTGCAACTTACAGTCTTAGAGATTTGCCGCCCTAGAGGCACTAAGAAAATGAATCGCAACCAACATTACACAATCATTATGTGTCAGGGTCAGAACTTAAAGTCAGTTCTTCCTGCTCTCTATTCATTGCAACAATCCTTGGCACAAAGCAAAAGTTTAATAAGCATCTATTTGTCAGAGGTGTTGTTGACAGACAGCTGGTTCTGGAGCCAGAAAGACCGGGGTTCAAATACTACCCATAATATATACTGGCTGTGGGCCAATGGCTGAACAAATAAATTACTTTAACAAAGACTCTGGGCAACTCTCAAGACTAAGTTGTAGACAAGATGTTTAACTCCACGGTAGAAGAAATTTCCTCATCCTGTAAATGAACGGGCCATATACCTTATTTGCTGAATGAATGAGTGACTTCAATGCCTCGACAACCATCATTATAAAAAGCAGTTGTCAAAGCTGAAAAGATGACAACAAAAGTGCTTTTATTGTAGACTTACTGTTCCTGTTACAGCAAAAGAATAGTAGTTAATTCCAATAGATCTCTATAACAGAACATTTTTTTGGGGGGGGGAGTAGAAGACCTACAATTTCACTGGCACTCCCTACACTATAAGTCCATCTACACCTGCTCTATAATTTATAGTCTAAGAGGGTTTATTTAGCAGGTGGAAAAAGAAAAGAAAAGGAAAAACTTCATTATTTATGACTACTATAACTTGTCATTTTGATAATCAACTTATACTCTACCCTTACTGCATTGATGCTAATGTGGCACACATGGAAACTAATTTTCTAACAAATTAATTTTGTTATTTTGGTACATCAGAGGCAATATGACAATAACAATGCCATTTACAAGTCACACTTAAAATTGAACAGCAAATCCATTTGGACTAACTATCAGTATATTGGCAAAGGAATGATATATGGCTTCAGAGCGACCTGAAAAGGTTCTGTTGTCAGAGATGAAATGGGACAACTGCAAAGGTACACAACGATAAAAAAAAAAAAAAAAAGCTACTTCAAACAGGGTGGCAATGTCTGGGAATCTCTGAGAAATATTTATAAGCAACAAAAACTCAAGTGAGCCTGTCACAGGTAGAGATGGAGTGGCTCTTGAACTAAGTTTGGGAGCAGCCAAAGGAGCACAGCCATAAGAACAAACTATAAAATACAAAACATGGTTCATCATGGACAATCTTCTCCTTTAAACAACCCAAAAGTGCTGTTCATGGTCAATGATCACCTCTTTGGCTATATTTGCATATAGAACCAAACAACAGCACCCTGACCACTAAATAAATAGCAGCAGCTCCCACAGATGACTCCCAGATCGACCTATCCCAGCCCTCATGTCTTTAAGATTCAACTCCATGTCTCCAACTGTGATGTCCCATAGGCATCCCAAGATCACAAAACTCATTATCACCACCCAATACTCACTCCTCCTTCTAACTTCTTTATCTCCTTGAAGGGACCCACTGATGGGGTGCTAATGATGGACCCAAAAAAGGCCCTGAACTTTCCTACAAGTTTCAGCAAGCCAGCCTCTGAACCTAGATCCCTGGTTTTTGCCTAAAGCGCTCACCCCATCCCAGGCAATAATCCTTTTAACTGCCCTTTCTTGACCCTCATTGTCTGCACCTGCCCACCCCAGGCTACTTGCCACTGCTTAATCCCATCCAGACCTTCCCACAGTCTTTCTGTATAAAATATCAATCTTTCCCCCTATTAAATTGCTCGATAAACCTGGTTACTCCGACTGAAAAAGGCTTGAGTGATCGAATTCTTTCGAGGCAGACTCCCGCCTGCACCCTTCTGGCATTTCAGGGTTCCCAGCACCCCCAAACCACAACACCACCATTCTTCAATCCCATCCTGTGAGAAATCTAGTTGTCATCCTTCACTCTTTTCTCACCTCCCTCTCACCATCTGTCCCCACCAAGTGCTGGGGATGGAAAAAAAGGCAAAAAACGGTCCTTGCTCTCTACTGGGGGAGACAAGCAACTATTAACAAACAAGCTAGACACGGGATCAAGAGGAAATAATCAACTGGTGATATGTGCGGCAAACTGGAGGTAATCTCATTGGGAATGTAGGTGCTCACTACAACCCTGTAAGGTAAGTGCCATTCCTATTCCCGTTTTACTGATAAGGACACTGAGGCTGTAAGAGGTTAAGTCACTCGTCCAGGAGAGAGCAGCTGGGAATTGTCTGGGGCAGGATTGGAATGCAAGTCTTCCTGCCCCCCAGATTCATGGCTCTAGCCACTGCACCACCCTAGCTGCTTCGGAATTTGTATCATTGATAAGACTCTCTGGGAAGATTATTGGAGGCCAAAGTCACCCACGAAGTGGTCAACAAGTGGGATAAAAGTTGAGAGAGAAGATGGAGAGTGAGAAGACACGGAGAGGCGAGGGGACGGCAACAGAAGAGGAGCCCGCGGTCAACAGAGACCCCAAGCGACAGAAAGGCGAGGGGGCAAAGTCAGCCTGATGCACCCAGACGTTAAGTGGGGACCTACGGCCAGGCTGGGGAGGGGGACACGGGAAGTGGGGCCGGCTGCGCCCCGGAATCCTTTTTCAGGGCCGTTTGTTTCCGGGGGGGGACTCACAGAAGAGATTGGCCAAGGCGGGCGCTTCGCGGAAGGGCGGGGAAGGGACGAACCCGAGCCGCAGGGCGGGGGGACCCTGGGGCTTACCTGCCGCAGTAGCTTCCACCTGGCGGCGCCCAGGTGCCCCCGAGACGCCGGCCTCGGCTCCCCGGTTACGAGCTGTCCAGCCGCTTCAGCACCGGCCCCTGCCGCCGGCGACTCCATCTCTGGAGTCTGCCTCCGTGTCTCTCCTGCCAGGACCTGCCTCCCTACCCGCCTGCCTGCCCGCCCGCCTCTCAGCTGACAGGACCTGCGGCTCCTGAGACTCACAGCCGTCAGACCACTTGGCTCCGGCCGCTGAAGCCGGCTCCTGCACGCGGCCCTTCCGGGTAAACGCGTCACCTGGGCAACCGCGAACGAAGAGAGCGGCGATCGATTTGTCACTACTTCCTAGTACTCCTCCCTTTCTTGGGTGGCCATCTTGGATGAGGGCAGGTCGAAGCCTGGCAAAGGGCTTTTGGCAAGAAACTGGAAGCGTGCACCTTATGTTGTCTCCGTTTCTCTGCTTCAGTAGTTCTGGCTCAAAGGAAATCCGGGCAAAGGCCAGAAAGTAAAACTGGAGTGCCCAAGAATACACAGAAAGTGAGCCCACGCTAAAGATGACGACTGCGGCGTCGGCGTCGCCTAAGAAAAGGAGCGTCGGTTGCGGGCGCTCCTCGACGCTGGATTGAGCAGGCCTGCGTCGGGACGGTTATCACGGCGGCGGCTGCTCGGAGTCGGCTCGCACACCTCCTGCCTACAGGAAGAGGCAGACCCCCCAGCTGGGTCCCCGACTCTCTGGAGTCTCCGTTTTCTCCAGATTGTCTTGCCCTGGGACCTCTTGGTTCCACAGTGGACTTGGTTCCCATCCCGGTGTGGGGCTCTTGGCCGCCGCGTGCTAGAAAGGGCTCGAACCCTGGACTTGCCTCACTCCTTGCCTTGGCCTCGGGTCCCTCCTGGCGTCCGGCTCCGGCCCTCCTGAGAGGCCCCCTGGGTTCGTGCCCCTCGTGGGGTCCGGAAGGGCCATTGGGAACGTCAGCTGCCCCCGTAGGAGCCGCCTTCCTCCATCCTGACCCTCCAGAAGCCTTCGTCAGTCAGCAGACATTTATTAAGCACTTACTGGGTGCCGAAGGCTGGGGACTATCATATTCGCCGGCATTTATGTGGCGCTTTAAGGTTCGCAAAGCGTTTGGACCTCACGTCAGCCTCGGGAAGTAGGTGCTGTTATTAACCCAATTTTGCAGATGAGGAAATTGAGGGGTTAAGGGACTTGGCAGGGTGCTATCCGAAGCGGGATTTAAACTCAAGTCTTCCAAATATAGCACTCCATTGCACCGCCTATTTGCCCAAGAAAAGCAAAACTATTCCATGCCCTCAAGGACTTTACTTACTGCTGCTGATGTCTACCAGCAAAGATGAAGTGGGTACAGAATTAGTCGGCTGAGGTCCAGGTGAAGAGTTTCAGCTTTTTATACCCCCATTTTTTAGGAGAACAGATTTTTGCCCCCGAATCTGAATCATTACCCCAGTTGTCTGTTGCAGAAGAAATATTGGCATGGTTCCATCCCACAGCCATCCTCTGGAGAGGCCATCCATTAATGCTTCTATTAAAGTGCTCCCGGTGCTTCGTTATGCCATATTGGTCATGCTGGGTTCTGGAAAGCTGTGCCAATAGGTCAAAAGCTCCGGCCAGCCTGTTATTCTGGAGACCCAAGGAGTCAAGTTGCCAGAGGTTCATCAACAAGTAGGGTTGGTTGCTTGACTTTTGGCCACAGAAACTTCTTCTAAAGTGTGAAGAGGTTTTGGCCTGCAACAATAGTGTAAATGCCCTAAATAAATCACAGATCTTTTTTAAGTTGAGTGGCCATTTACTAGGAAACTACTGTGTTCAAGACACTGTGTTCAACATTTTATTGGACAGCTGTGCTAACAGATGATTTGTAGAAGAGTAGTATTTGCCCTTCCTGATGGGGATTCTGGAGGAACCTAGACGCCACTAACTTCTTTTAAGTAATCCATCTAGATTTTTTTTTTGCCTGTGTAATCTCCCAGCCTATGTGGGGGGAGGGGAGGAGGAGGGGAGAAAAAGAATAGAGATTTTTGTAGTTTAAATAAATTTCCCTCTTGCGTTGAAAGGACATTCATTTGTTGTAGCCTGAACTTTAACATCAACATTTCCTCACTACTTGTTGCCCATTTCAATTCAATAAATGTTAACAAGCCATCATAAAATCTAAACCTGAAAGGGATCTTATCATTTTAGAGATGAAGAAAAAGGTTCAGTGGACTTGTGACTTGCCCAAGTTCACACAGATCAATAGCCAAATCAGGATTCAAATGGAAATCTGATTCCCCATTCAGTGCTCTATTCACTAAAAGGCACTACAGAATGGGAAGGAATTTTTCTATTTTGTCTTTTATCCACTGTGTCTTATACATAATAGGAGCTTAATAAATATCAAATTAAATTTTTTAAAAGATGACCCTGCCAACAAGGAATTTATATTTTATTGGGGAAGGGGGTTACAACTTACCACAGATAAAGGTAATTCGAGGATGGAAAGTGCATTCACAAGAGGGGAAGAAGGGGAGTGAAGACCAGACAGGGACCAGAAAACTTCACATAGTAGGTGGTACCTGAGCTAAGCCCTGGAGGAAGACAAAGATTCTGAGTTCGATGAGGAGAGAATTATTCCAGATTAAAAAATGGCTTGTGCAAATGCATGGAAGTAGAGAAAAGAATATGAAGTTTGGGAAATTCCTAGTTAAATACAGTTTGACTAGAATGTAGGGATGTGAAAGGGAATAACATGAAATAGGCTGATGCCAGAATGTAGAGCTCATAAAGGACATGCTAAGGAGCTTATGTTTATCCTAGACACAGTGCAGAGCCACTGAAGGTTGTTGGGCAAGGGAGTGACATGGTCACACCTGTGTTTTAGGAGGATTATTTATTTTGATAGCTGTGAGAAGGATAAATTGAGGGGAAAAACTTATATGTGACCTGTTCTCTGGCTCCCTTCTCTGTGTATACAAAATATGTGTAAAATCATGTGAATTCAAAGCAGTTTATCCAATGGAAGACCCAGATATTATGAGATCTTAGAGATACAATCATTTGTAACTTGTCAATTTTTTCGTAGGATGTAACTGTTCCAGTATAGTGTCCATGTGGTCACAGCCTGAGAGAACTGACTTTGCAGAAGAGACGCATCCACCAAGAAAGAAGTGTGTATCTGAAGGGAATTGTTGACCTTCTGAAACTGACACACACATTTTTAGATCTCTCTGAACCTGTTAGCAAAAGTTGTTCGTGGTACAGTATCTTATTCTTTACCCATTGGAGGCATGGTGCTCTAGGAAGTGGTATAAGAGCTGCTGATCTTCAGTGTTTCGAAAATTCACTAGAATTTCACTGTAACCAACATTCATGTCTAGGGAATTCAAAAGTCAGAACAAAAAGAGAACATTGACACCATGCATCAGAAAGTCAAATTCTTCCTCCAAACTCTGAAGTTTAGTATTGCTCGCTTTGGAAAATGCACACAGAAGCAGCCTCACAATCACCTCATTGATTGTTGCCCTTGGATAAACGTGAGAAAATGTCACAGCTTTAAGAGTTTGCAAAATAAATGCAAGAAATTGATATCAGAAAGAAACATCACAAGCCGGAGATTCTCCTATGCGGTATGAACTATTTATACTAATCTATTTGTAGACAAATTCTAATTAAGAGATAAAGGATTGACAGGCTGAGTTCTAGCACTATCTCTGAGTCACAGGCTCTCAAAGGTACCAGATCAAGAATCCCTAACAAGTGGCAATCCAGCTCTTGCCCAAAAATTCAAATGAAAAAAAAATGATGAGGATTTATTGGAGAGGCTGTAAAGTATTTTTAGTACTACTGCATACTGCTTTTACTGTCTCTGGTCTTGTTAGTTACACACTGTTTTATATAGAAGACTTTGTTTATGTAGAGGACAGAAACTGTCTTTCACTTTTGTATAATCATGAAGAGGCAGCAAGATATAGTGGAAAGAGCCCTGGTCCTGGAGTTATAAAATCTGCTCTCTAGTCATCGATAGAATGGAGTTAGTAACTTACCCCTGCATTACCTGCTTCACAGAAGTGTTAGAGCAAAGAACTTTGTAAAACCTAAATGTGGATTCTTATTTGACTGTGAGCAAAGAATGGAGTAAACCTTAAATGTGAAATGTTAGTGTTATTTGGTAAATATTTATTGAGTTATTATAGATATTTTGTTTTATTATTATAAACTCTTACGTAGTATAGTACTAGAATGGGGGAGTACCAAGGAATTAATTGCCAGAGAAAATTTAATACATACAAAATCAAAGCTTTAAAGACCAGAGATATGACTAGAGCCTCCAGCTATGTTTTTATTTGGTGTTTACAAGGGAGAGAGAAACAGGAAAAAAGAAGTAAACAATCTCACTCTAATGTTCTCCTCAAAGCCTTATGTTGTAGATTTGTTTCATAGGCAGTCACCCCTTACTATGAAGGCCCTTTGTTAGATCTACATATAAACCTTCTAACAGGTCTGAGATTGCTTTACACTAAATTCCAATCTCTCCTGAAGTGTTACAACCCAGTGAATATTATATCTCTGTCCTACAGGCATCACGATCTTTCATTTGGGTTTGTTAGGAAAAAATTTTTTTTAAGAAATGTGGAGATGGAGAATTAACTCAAATGATATTTTATATAACATTACAGAGGTATTTTAAGGATTCACTTGTATTTGGTAATTAAGGGTTTAAATACATTGAACCTTTATAGGATTTATATTCAGTGCCACACATTTAGCACTCATTTTATTTTATTTTCTTTTATGTGTGCAAGTCTTTTCTCCTCACCTAAACTGTAAGTTTTTTGATGATAAGGACAATTTGTGATGCATCTTTTGTGTTCCCCTGTTTCATGAGCATGGGCACATCTGTAAGTACTCAATAAATACTTATTAATGTTGTGGTATTTTCAAGCTTGAAGAGACCATACAAATCAGCTAGTCCAATTGCTTTTAAAAAATAATTGAGGAATATGAGGCCCAGAGAAGTTAAGTAATTTGCCCAAAGTCACACAGTTAATACCAGAGCAAGTACTAGAATCCAGGTCTCCTGACTCCAGTCTGTGTTCTTTCTACCCTGCTAGCTTTAATGAACTTTAATCAGTCAACAAGCATTTTAAGCACCTACTTTGTGCTGGGCACAAGGAATATGAAAACATATTTTTATCATGTTTGGGTCTTTATCTTGTATTTTATACCAGCTTTCCATGTTAAAATTGCTAAGAAGAGTAAAAATATCCTAATCCTTCCATTAGTTTTAACAATATGATACACATTTTCTCTTATCCACAGCACAGCTTCACTCATCCTCACTCCAGCTATAAGAGATAGGAAGGTTTGTATGATGCAATGAAACAAATTGACTTATCAGGGTATCAATAATATTAAATGATTCAGGATCATTAGTTATCAGGATATTAATCATATTAAATAGACTATTAAGGTACTACTGGATTTTTACCTATTTAGAGAGGTAGTGTCATCAACTTATCCTAAAAAGCAGTGATGATAAAAGTGTCATGTAGCTTTCAGATTTAAAAGCACAGAGTAGCTGTCAATAGAAAGAATAAAATAATTCACCTCAATAAATTTGTGTTGTTTTTGTGCGAGGGACAGTGCTAGATGCCACAGCTACAAAGAAAGATAGGACAAAAGACTTTTTTTCTTAGGATATTACAATATAGTGGAGGGAAGACATATGCAAATAATTATCACACAAGAGAAATCACTTTTATCTGAGAATGTATGGGAAGGAGGCAACTGAGTTAGGCCTTGTTCCAGGTATGAGGGGTGGTGTGAGAAAAAACCACAGACACAGGAAGGGGTCAAGAATGGAGACAAAGATCCCCGTTTGTCTAGACCAAGGGTGGGGAACCTGCAGTCTTGAGGTCGTTCTGTGGCCTTTTAGATCCTTAAGTGCCACCTTTTGACTGAAACCAAATTTTTAAAATGTGGCCTCATGATCCCCCTCCCTGGTCTGGACCATACCTCATATCAATAGGATAGAGCAACTTGAATCCCAGGGTCAGTAGTTTATAATTTAGTAGACATCTGGGAGCTACTAAAGGTTTTAGATTACTGGAAGATTACCAGGCAGTAATTTAAAGGATGAATTGGAGAGGGGATAGAATGGAGGCAGTTAGAAGGCCATTCTGATAGTCTAGGCAAGAAGAAATGAGAGACTGAACTAGGATAGGGGACGGAAAGGAAAGGGCTGACCTAAGAAGCATTGTGCAGATAGAATTGGAAATTGTTTTACTGATTGAGCCGACTTATATAATGCAAGGAAGACAAACTCAGGTGTGCTCCGAGGGAGAGCTTACTTTTATACCTGGGGGAGGGAAGGGTCAGTGAAGGAAAAGACATTGTCTGAGTTGGGACCTGAAGAGAAGGAGAGGAGTCAACAATCAATTGGTCAAACACAGTGATGAGTGCTGGGAATAAAACGAAAGGCAAAAATAGTCCCTGCTGTCAAGGAGCTTATATTTTAGTGGTAGGGACATTGTGCAAATAGATACATACAGGATATGCACAGAGCAGATGGAAGGTAGTAATCTCAGAGGAGAGGGCCTTTTACAAAAAATGAGATTTGAGCTAAATCTTGATGAAAGCCAAGGAAACTAAAAATAGATGAGGAAAGAAAGCATTACAGGCACGGGGTACAGCCGGTACAAAGGCATAGAGAGGAGACATACAGTGTCCTATGTAAGGGACGGCAAATAGGCCAATTAAGCTGGATTGTAGTATATAAGAAGAATAAGAAAAGTAGGAAAGGGCTAGGTTACAGAAAACTTTAAATGCCAAAGAGAGTACTTTATATTTGTTCCTGGAGGTAACAGGGAGTCACTGAAATCTACTGAATGAGGAACAGGAAAGGGAGGATATAAGCAAATCTGGGCTTGAGGAAAATTATTAACAGCTGAGTAGAAGATAGGATCAGAAGGGTGAGAAACTTAAGACAGGAAGACCAATTAGAAAATTCTTGCAGGCCAAGTAAGAAGTGTTGAGGGCCTGAATTAGGTTGGTGACTGTGAGTGGAGGAAAGGGGATGTATGGGAGAGATGTTGTGAAAGTGGAAAATGTCTCCATGGTTGTGATTCTGGGTGACGGGGAAGGTGACGGCACCTCAGCAACAGGAAAATTGGGGGGAGGGTTGGGGGGAAAGATAATGAGGTCTGTTTTGGAAAAACTGAGTGTTCGAAGCTTACAGGATATCCAGCTCACAATGTCCAATAAGTAGGTGGTGATACTACCAAGACTGGATATACATATCTAAAAATCATCTACATAGGGATGATAGTTTTAACTCATAGGAGCTGATGAGATCACCAGCTGAGACAGTACAGCGTAAAAAGAGAAGAAGGCCCAAGACAGTCTTGGGGTGGGAGTGGGAAGAGAAGAGGGAAGGCACCCACATTTAATGAGCATGACATGGATTAAAATACAGCAAAGGAGACTGAGAAAGAGTGATCATAGAAAATGAGTCAAAGATACAGTTATCCCTTCCACATAGTGGGGTTAGAGGTGCGGCACCCCAGCAATCTGGAAAGTCTGTGTAGAAAAATTTGGCCCTCTCTTTGTACCAGAGAAGAAGTCTAAACTTTTTTTCTTTTTCTTTTATGGGGTGTTTACAGTACCTTATTGTAAAATTTGAGTTAAATATTTGGTCATGGGTTATACTATACAATACTATACTATACTATACTAAAATGTATATTTTATGCATTTCTGAGTTTCTAAACTTTTTCTGTGTCATCTTTGCGTGTCATCTGCAGTTTCCACAAACCCCCCCCAAAATTCCCATTTAATTTCTTATGCCAACCCACAACATACCAAAACCTCAATGGGGAAAATCGAGATTTGGAAGGGAAACTTGTAATCCCAGGATATGTGTAGGTGACTTGGAGGGTAATAGTGCTGTCAACAGAAATAGAGAAGTTAGGGGAAAGGGTAGGTTCTGGGGAGAGGGTTATAAAAATTTAGTCTTCAGCCTGTTAAATTTGAGGTGTTGGTGGAATATCTAAGAAATCTAATAGACATTATCATCTAATAGAGATTAAGGGATGCCTGTAGAGATGATGATTGGAGCCATGGAAGAATATGTGAGTATAATGAAGAGAGGCCCAATGAAAAGAGTATAGTGAGAGAGTTGAAGTGGACCGGGATAGAAAGTGGGAGATACTGATCTTTACAGGGCAAGAGAAGAATAAAGAGCAGTCACAGACTGGAGGAGAATCAAGAGAATTCAGCTTTGTTCAATTGGTTATACCATAGGGAAAAATTAGCAGGCAGATATAAATTAAATCATGGTAAGGGCACAAACATTGCCCCAACTGCACAGCCTTCACGATCAATGCTGGGTTCTCATCGGGATCAGATTTGGGTTCATGGGTAACAAAATCCAGTTCACTTGGACGGCCCCTCTTCTGGCCTGCAGATCTATTTTTCATTTTGTATCACTGTCTAATGTTACAATTGCAACATAAGCTTCTAGTCAGCCTCCAGTTATATATATAAATATATATTTGTATGTTTTGTTTATATCTAAGGCTGTTATTTAAGTAGCTTAGTGAATATAGATGGTTATTCAAGTATCTTAGTCAAAATAAATGGTTTCACTTTCTTTTCCTCCAAAATAAATTCTGGCTTGTATAAAAATTCTGATGGTAGTTTCATTGATTAGGAAATGGGCCTGTACTGAAGTTTCCAGTATTTTGGGCAGATCTTGTAAATGATCACTTAATAAAAATTATTTAAGTGTTTATATAATTAAAATAAATCAGCAAGTTAGAATAATATAGAGAACTTTAAATCTCATTTGATTTTGATTAGGAAATAGTTTTGCTTCGATTTCTTCCCTTTGTCTTGTACTTTAAGCCAAAATCAGACAGGTGTAAATCCTAAAAGTATAGACACTGGATCTAGCTCTATAACTTTCTACCTCAGCCATGATCCTGATGTGAATCAGATTGAGTTCAGCCAAAATCTAGACTATCTCCCAAAAATGGAAAATGAAAAAGTAAATAACATATAAAGAAGATATTGGGAGCCAGAGGCATTGAGTTTTTTTATGTTTGTGTGTTGTCATATCTCATCATCGTAGCTTTTAGGCTGTAAACTCATCATGGGCAAAAACTATTTCTAGCTCATATTTTTGTACTATGCCTAATAAAATATCATGGGTGCACCAGTCATTCAATGAAGATTTGTTGCTTGCTGAGTTAATTATTGAAGGATGGATGGCTACTTTGGCACTTGTAATCGTGAGTATGATCTTTGGCAAAGATCCGTGGTTGGAAAGCTTGGCTAGATTGGTTTCTTCTACTTACGGACACTCGTTCCTAGACAGTTTTAATAGAATGTTAAACTGTCAGGCATATTATTCATCAGGCAGTTGAGATTTTTTTTCCCCCAATCTAGGACCTTGATGACATACATGTCCATTTATGTGGCTCTAGAGGTCAATTCAAGTTTTTTGTTTGTTAGGTCTTCTTATCTCCTTTAAGAACATTCATGGGCAGATTCTCATTCAGTAGGCACTTATTAAGCTTTCATTTGTGTCTCTGCTAATTTTCTTTAATTCTGCCATTATTTCATTGATTTTTCCTTACATATGGTGAATGCATTTTTTCAAAAATGAAAATAAAAGGGATGCTCCATTTTGCAAGGCAGTAATTCACCTTTTGAACAGATAAACTGTTCTGCCTTTGGCTGCTGCTTATCCCAACAAGGGAAGCAAATTATTGCTGATGAGGAGGTGGGGTAGGGCAGACTTCTTATGCGATAACTGTTTTATTGTGAGTAAAATGATGGTGAGCTTTTATTAGTAAAGATAAAGTGTCCTCCTCTCCCTCCCTGCAGCGCTTCCCTTTTCATACTTCAGTATTTGTAAAAACTCAATAGATGCCTCTAGCTCTCTTTCTCTCTACTATCCCACCCCTGACTGAGTGTTAAATATGTAAAATACATGGGATTTCTTTTTCTGCTTAATCTCCTGTAAACGTTGCCCATGGTGTTTCTGCACACTCTCTCAAGCGGAGTACGGGTCTTAGCTACACTTCTGCGTTCCTCGTCCTTTGGAATTATTGATGTAAAAGAGCACAGCAGTATTCTAGTTGCTGAGTGTCCTGTGCATCCTTTTTTGTTTGGATTTTAAAATGAGATTTCTACATCAACACAGGACTGTGGAAGGAGGATTTTCTCAGGGGGAGGAATTAAGAAAACCTTTCAAGAACTCTCAAACTACTTATTACTTCATTAAGTGTTCCTGGCATTGTAAAACTTGCATGAAAAGGAAACAAAGGATTTTTCTTTAGAAAGTACACAATTTTAGTAGTTTAAAATAATTTGATTGCTCTAGTAAAATATTTATTACAGAATCTTCTGAATACTGAACAAGAGAACACAAAATCCCTTTTAATAAATTACACGGATTCGATGGAAAGATTCAAGAAGAAAATAGAAGCATTCTATGACAAATACTTACTCACTTTGGACAGCTTAGAGGTCAGTAGGAAATGATTTATTTCCCTCCTTAAAAAATAACCTCCGGCACTGTAGGCCAAGAAGCAAATGTATGTTTAGCACCTAAAGACCCCTGGTGCTGTGAGCAGTCAGCTACATTTGCAGGTCAATGTTTTGTTGTTTTGAGCCAAAGGATAGTCACTGCAACACTTAAAATGAGTATGATGTGATTTTTTTTGTAAATGTTAAAGATTAAACCAGAACAAAGCTCAGAAAGGTTCTGAGTGTAAAAATAGTTGTTTTTCAGAGTTAGTTTTATACAATAAATAATTATGATGTTTAACTGTAATGTCTAAACTTGAGTTCTGATTTTTAAGTAGTACTAGTAGACCAGTGTAGCCATGTTATTTCATGCCATTAAATGCCATTAAAATAAAATTAACATTATTTAAACTGCTTTGTGATGCTCCTGTCTCAGAAGCATCTTTGGTAGCTTTGTTTAAAAGCATTGTACAGAGGGAAACACATTTAAAATACATTCTGGCTATGTAGCTTAAAACTAAATTATTTCATTGTCATCTTAAAATTGCCACAGTTAAGCACAGCTACTCACCCTGAATATTTTTCAATTAAACTTATATCTTAAATAATCATGTTTCAGGCATATACCCTCAAGCAGTGCTGTACAGTCTACTGACTTGTAACAATCTCTATCTCCTTCCCAGTACTCCCTTGGCAGGCAGTGGTAAGAGAATGAAATGTTCTCTCGGAGACTCAGAGTAAACCAGTATAAAATTGAAAGAGCCACAGCTCCCTGCAGGAATAATAGAACTGCTACTGAGAATTTAGAAAATTAATTTCTTCTTTAATATAAATTCTTTGTAACCAGAAGTTTTCTTTGTGTTATACAATAATGCAGTATTGTTAGATTTGAAGTTTCACATAAAATGAAATTTGAATTTAATGAATTTGATTGAGTCTCCGATACTAATTTTCACCATAATATAGTAGAAGAAACCCTAAAGTCAGAAGAAGTTTTGAGTCTCAGCTCTATGCTGTAATGTCCTAGATCTTGTGCAAGTCTCTAAGTCTCAGTAGCCTCATTGGTTTAAAAAAAAAAAAAGCAGGCGTGATGATAGTAATAGCCACATAGGGTTATAGGAAGAAAAGTCCTTTGTAATTTTAAAATACAAACTGGTATATGAAGCTCACTGATTCCATAAATATGTACAAATAACATGAAAGGGAAGAAACATGTGACATGTTGTATTTCATTCTTTATTTAGTATATATTCATATACTTCTACACTGGTGGATCTATTTTTTTAATGAAATCTAAGTATTTGCAGTATCATCTTATATATTGAACAGCTCATTTTATCAGAGATCAATAAAGAAACATAATTATGAACTGAATCAGTTTTGCACTTTTTATAGCAACACTTTTTTTTCACTTCTCAGATTAGATTTGGTGATTTTATTTACTATGAAGAAGATGGTTGCATACTTCGTTTAAAACTTGGAGATGGTAAACTTATTTTTTCTTTTTTACATGCTTTAATTTTTCAGATCTTCTTTCTTGAGAAATAAAAATGTTCATTGATGAAATATATACAATGGTAGAAATAGAGTAGATACATAGGTGTAATGGACTCAACATTATTGTCTTTTTAAAGTAACGTAATTTTGTGTGTATTTTTCACAGTGTTTTTTAACATCTAAATTTGTTATAACAGTATTAACAAGGATATACTCTAGCCAAAGCATAGGTGACAAACAGAACCTTTTCTTAAATTAGTTTTTTTATTATTTTTGTGATTATTTGATAAATTTATGACTTTATCCGTAAGTGTTATATATTCTCATCCCAGATTAAATATAAATGACATCAATTCTGAGGAAGAACAGAATATATTTGCTTTTAGAAGCAGATATTTATCTTGAGATCCAAATCCATGAAATTCCTCTTTGAAATAAAATGTATAGTTTAGTGTCAGGTCTGTGATCTGTATTTGTTTTTTATGTACTAGGTATTAATAATTGTGAAGTTTTACTCCGTTTGGAAGAGCTTTCATTATATAATGCCTTTGTTGAACGTATCAGGATTTCTCCAGGGGAGGAGTACATGGCAGCCAGCATAAAAACCTCAGATTCTGAAGAGTCTACATGTGTAATTGTTAAGCTTGGCAAATATCCAAAAGTGGAGGACTTCATTCCCAATGTGTTCAGTTTTGGTAAGCCACTGACAGACATGTTCTCTCCTTAAAGGCAGCATCCAAAAGGATAAGGGCAGGATTTATTCACCGAACAAATATTTATTGCATGCCTACCACATACGGTGGTAGATTCTGTAGAATAAAAATATAATAAGATAGGCTCTGCTGTCATGAAACTTACAGGCTAATATGGGAAAGTAAGACATATGTGCGAGATAGCTACAGAATTATAATAGAGGGTAGGAAGTAAAAGCATAATAAAAGAGGCACAAAGTTCAGAGAAGAGAAGGATTGGTGCTGACTGGAGCAGACTTCCTTGACCAGAGAGACTCAGAAGGCTTCATGGAAGAGGTGGCATTTGAGTTAGGCCTTAGAGGTTGGCTAAGAATTGAAAGGCAGAGCTGGGATGGAAGGACCTGGCACCTGTGACCTAAGAATAAAGAATGGTGAATGGAATTTAGGGGACAATGAGGAGTCTTTTTTAGCTGCAGCTTAGAATATATATATATATAGGAGTAATGAGATATAAGGCTAAAAACGTAGTTTGGGGTCAGATTGTGGAAGGAGTCTTAATTGCCAGAATAAGAAATTTTAACTTGGGGAGTGACTGAAAGTTTTAAAAGAAGAGAATTACATGATCAAAGCTGTACTTTAGGAAGATTGATTAGATGGCAGAGTGTAGGATGGGTTGAAATGAAGAGAGAGTGAATGACTGGAGGCAGGGGGACTACCACTGGTCCAGAGAAGAGGAAATGAGGATCAGTAACAGGCACTTCAGCTCAGTGTATAGATATGAAGTATCTGCTGTGTGCAAGGCACTGTGCCATACGTTGGGGTTATAAAACCAAAAACAAAATAAGAATTATTGCTCTCAAAGGGCTTGTTTTCTACTGGAAATTATAACATGTATGCAGATAAATACACGGTAATTTGAAGAAGGAAAGACCACGAACAACTAGAGAGATGAAGACTTCCCAGAGAAGGCGGCATCAGATTTAAGCACCGCAGGGAAGAGGAGGACCATTACACCATGATGACACCTGAGAAGCACAGCGCATAGAGAGGCGGTGCTCCAGGAAGCGGCACCTGCCAATACTGTGCTGGTAGATGCTGGAATTAATTAAGGGTTTTTGTTTTGTTTTGTTTTCTGTGGGTATTCCCCCAGTTAGCCAATTTCAGTGCAATAAGCTAATACCGTTAAGGTGGTGGTCAGGAAGCTTGGGCTCCCTTCCTCCTGTGCGTGTCTCCCTCACCTTATTTGTGTATATACATGTATGGGTGCTCCCTGCAACAAGTGTCTGCAGATAAACCATTTCTCTAACTGAGGTCATCAAGGCAAGCAGAATGGACATTCAGGCCAGGCAGACCCCAGAGGAGTTGCGCGGTGAGGAGTGACCCCGGAGTCTGCCATGTCTGAATTTTTCTACTCAGGGGCATAACTGCTCCTTTTCTAAGGACCTCTACTCCTTCAGAAGGTAGAAGAACCAACAAGGAGATAGTCTGTTCTGGATCTGATAGAAAGAAGCAGAACCCCAGGGAAAAGGAACCATTTCCTCTTCAAGTTTCCAAGACAGAAGAAGATTGGCATGTTGTACCCTAGATTTGAAGAGAATAGACCTCGTAAGGGTCAGAAGAAGATCTCATCCATGAACTACAGTTCTAAAAGGAAAGTTAGCCCAGGAAGGATGGAAGCTACTCAAGAATGAAAGGTTGAAATCACATGGTGAAATTCTGAAGAGGGAATAGAAAGGGGGAGCTGTCAGAAGAGACCACTTTAGATGCACAAGGAGCGCATCCAACAATGTAGCTTTTCAAAAGACAAAAGTCAGTGAGCTAGGTCGTGTTACATGAGATGAATACAAAAGCAAGACATAGTCCTGTGAGGACTCCTATGTTAGCAGTGTTAATACTCAGAATGAACTGAGATTGGTGAGGAAAGCTAAAAATAACACCAAAAGGAAGGGTGGTTTTGTTTTGTTTTGTTAACAATATTGGAAAAAAGAGTAGAATCAAAGACAGGATAAGACTTTATTTAAGAATGGATTTGGACAATAACCGACCAGGATAATGGAGAGAAAACAGAGCTGCTCAAATTTTATTTTGTCTCTGTTTCTCTGCCAAGAAGAATGACCTTTGGACTGAAAAAAGAACAAATATGGCTTCTAGGGAGTAGATACCTAAGATAAGTAAAGAGACAACAAGAAAGCTTCTGGATGCCTTTGATGATTTCAAGTCACCCAGCCCAGATGAACTACATCCTCAGTTACTGAAAGAAATGGCAAACATGATTGCTGACCCACTGTCTGTTGTCTTTGAAAAATTACAGAAAAGGGACTGAGAAAGGACAGCACACTTTGCTAGAGCTGTGAACTGGTTCAATACTTCCAGAAAGCAGTTTAACATTTTGTTGAGAAAGTTACTAAAACATCCGTACCCTTTGAACCAGTGGTCTCACAGCTGGCCTTAGACTCTAAAGAGGTCAAAGATAGAAAGAAAGGGCCCATCTACACCAAAATTGTGAGAGCAGTGCTTTTTGTAATAGCAGAAACTGTAAACAAAGTAGGTAACCATTGATTGGGCAGTGAAGAAATTGTGCTATGTGAGATATTGGAATAGTATCACATTATAAGAAATTATTAATATGAAGAATTTAGAATTAAGCAGAACCAGGAAAATTGTATACATAATGACTAAAACAATGTGAAGGAAAGAAGAAGAAAAAGAAGATTGTATTTATGATGACCTAGCTTGTCTCTAAAGAAGAGACGAGAAATATGAGTCTTTTTCCCTTCTTTGTAGAGGTGAGGGGACTATGGGTGTGGCACAGGCCTTATACTGCCAGATTTGGTTGATGTTTTAGTTTTACTGAATTATTTTTCCCCCCTTTAGTGTTAAAAGGAATGAGAAAGAGGGAGGGATGTGAAGTTCGTGAAAAAAATATCAATTAAATTTTTATGGAAACTGGAGTGTTAGCATAGGGACTGTAGAAGGCAAACCTCCCTTTAAAAAAAAAAAGAATAGAATCTGTAAAATTCTGGAATATATTATTAAAGAGACACCTATTAACATCTAGAAAAGGAAGCAGAGAGGCGAAAGCACCAGCATGGCTTCATGAAAAACAGGCCATTCCACATTCACCTCATTTCTTTGACAGGATTACTAAATTGGGAGATCAGGGAAATGCCGTAGATATCATCTCCCTAGATGTTAGAGTCATGCATTTGACAAAATCTTCATACTATTCTTGAGAAAAAGATGGGGAATTATGGATTAGACAGTATAAAATGACAGATTTGGAACTGATTTGAGTGGCTTGATTTCAGAGTAGTCTTCAATGACATAATGTCAATTTAGAATAGAGGCAGTGTGGTACATTGGAAAGAATGCTGGCTTTCTTAGTATCTGAATTTGAAACCAAGCTCTAAGACTACTACATGTGTCACATTGGGTAAGTCACATAAAGCTCTTGGGCCTGTTCCCTCATCTGTAAAAATGAGGGGCCTGGACTAGATGACTTCTAAGTTATCTTCCAACAATAAATCTCTAATCCTATGACTCTCTCAGGGATATGTACTTTTCTTTGTGCTATTTAACATTTTTATCAAATAAATGAATGAAAAAACATTTAGTAAGAGCTTACTGTGCTAAGCATCATGATAAGCACTGGAGATAAAAATTGAAAAGGTGAGACAGTCCCTGCTTTGAAGGAGCTCACATTGTAATTGGGAGAGACAACAAAGAAAACAAAGTTTAGCTGCAGGGTGAATGTCAAGGCCCAAGGATCCTTAGGTTCTGTCACTAAGAGTTAGACTTGGGCTCAAAAGATAAGCTACAAAAATAGGATTGAGGAAGCATGGTTAGGCAGCAGTCCTCAGAAAAATATCCAGGAGGCCCTATTCTTTCTCAATAATCTTACTGCTAGACCTGTACAGCAAAGAGATAAAAGAAAGGGAAAGGACTTATCTGTGCAAAATACCCTTCTCTCGGTCAGCTAATAAACATTTATTAAGTATTTACTATATACCAGACACAATGCTAAGTGCTAGCAAAGAAGTGGAAACAAAGAGGGTGCCCATCAATTGGGGAATGGCTGAACAAATCATGATATTTGAATATAATGGAATGTTGTTATTATGCCTTAAGTGATGACAAAATAGTTTCAGAGAAACTTGGGAAGACCTGTAAGAACTCATGCAGAGTGAAGTGAATATAACCAGGAAAACAGTTTATGTAGTTAACAACAATATTGTAAAGAAAAAGGACTTTGAAAGACTTAAGCAGTCTTATCATTGCAATAGCCAACCATGATTCCAGAGTACTGATGAGAAAGCATGCTGCCTAAGTCCTGACAGGTTAATAGACTCAAAGAGGATTAATAGACCCAAAGTGCAGAATTAAACAAATTTTTGTTCATGGTAAATTTGTAGATTTGTTTTGCTCGATCATGCTTATTTGTTATAAGGACTGTATTTTTTTTTTTTTTTTTTGAAGAGACAGCAAGGATTTCAGGGAGAAGGGGAGCTACCAATAAGGTTGCCCCTTGCAAAAGATAATAAAGAAAAGACAGTCACTGAATCATTTTTTAATTGTGCAAAAGAGAAGAGAAGGAAGTTCAAAAGGAAACACAGACAAGTAGTATAACTTTGAAAGTAATATGTTGAATTTAGTATGTTATTTTTTTAAAGGAAGCTGTATGTAATAGAGATTCATGTTTTTGCATGTAATCCTATTTTTCCCTTCTATTTTGTATATAAGAATACTCTTTTTTGTTATAGTTAAATTGAGAACTTTAAAAAATCATTTTAAAAAATCTAACTAGGAGTTTTTGTGGACTCCCAAATTCAATATGAGTCAACAATTTTATATGATGTTAGGGGTAATATGGTGTTAGGGTATATTGCGAGACATAGAAGAATCATGAGGAGATAGGCTTTCTGCTCTGTGGGATATATTCAGATCTAGGTACCATATTTAAGAAGAGTATAAGTGGGAGAGAGTCTGCAGGAGGGTAATCAGGATGGTGAAGGGCCTTAAATTCATGCAGTTAAAGGAATTGGGGGTGTTTATCCTAAATAGGGGACAAAGATAAGCCAGGATTCAAATAGGACTTTTAAAGGTAGGTTTGAAATTGAGTAACTAGAAATATGATGATGCCATTAGCAAAATAAGAAAGAAAAAAAGATGTTTTAGAATATTGTGATTTATTTGGTTTTAAATTGTTAAATTAGAGTTATGTTGGGACATCCAGTTTGAAATAATCGAGAAATAGTTGGAAATGTGAATAGAAAGTCTAGAAAACAAGTTGGAACTGGAGATAAAGTTGAAAGTCATCCATATGGAAATCATAAATAAAGCTAAAAGAGGAACTGTCCACATTATCATACTTGCCACTTAGAGAGGGGTATTGATCAGTTCTGTAGTCTCTTTTGAAGGCCCTATGCCAGGGGTGGGGAACCTGCAACCTTGAGGCCACATGTGGCCCTGTAGGTCCTCAAGTGAGGTCCTTTGACTGAATCCAAACTTCAGAGAACAAATCCCCTTAATAAAAGGATTTGTTTTGTAAAACTTGGACTCAGTCAAAAGGTTGTACCCAAAGAGCTAGAAGGTCATATGTGGCCTCAAGGACAGGTTCCCCTCCCCTGCCCTGTGCCCTCCTGTGGACATAAACCTCGTTCATCTTTCCTTACCCTTTGATTTCAAGTGGACTGATATTTCAAATTACCTTAATATTATTAAAAATACATAGTCAGCCTATAAAGTGCTGTATATGATATGATTCAATAAGTGCTAACTTGGTTTGTTATAGTGACTTCTCTTATGAGATGAATATAATAAGATGCATCTGATAAGATTTGAACGTCAAACTTTTATTGTCTTTTCATTTCAAAACTGCCTTTAGAATGAATAATGGTTATATAGTCCACAGTCATTGTCAGACATTGAAGAAGATATCAATCTAACATTCTTTAGAAATGAGAATAAAAGATCCAGTTTTTCCTCAGTCTTCAAGTTAGAAGCTGTAGGTTTAAACCCAGTTCACGTTTCATTCTGATTCTTAAATCAAATGTGCTTTTCTTTAGATCTGCTCAGAATTCTAAGGCATTTAATCCTTCATGCTTTCTTGAAAAATCTCTTGTAAGACATTCATAGTAAATAACAATAGATACTTGAGAATTTATGCAGAGGCAGTAGTACTTCCTTCTGTAGAAGGCTCTCTGGCTTATTGACTTTGTGACCCTGGATGAGGCTCATGAATTCTCTCAGCCTCATTTCCCTCAAATGGAAAATGGGGATAAAATTACCTCACAGGTTATTGTGAGGGTCAGATGAAAAAACATGTGGAAAAGCACTTTGCAAACTTAAATGTGTTATATAAATGTCAGATGCTATTATTGTTATCTTAGTTCAATGTAATCAAGTTCACTTTAACTTTTAGTTTCCAAGGACAGACTCCCAAACAGAATCATGACTATTGTGCTTTTCTATTATAATGTAGTAGTATTTCATCACTTAATTTGTTTTCCTTTCAGAATGGGCACAGAATGGCATTTTATTATACACTTGCCAAAAGAACCTTCGATGTTGTGATGTATTTCGAACCAGCTTTGGGAATAAAAAACATACTGAACGCATCTACACAGAACAAGATCCAAGGTACTGGAAAAATACAAGAGAATATAAGCTTTTTTTTTTTTTTTTGGCCAAATGTGAATTTAACATCCCCTAAAGTAGCTTCTTAAATTTAAGCATCGTAAAGTGTCTTTGCACTCTGATTATTTATTTTATTTGGAAAAGTCTTTTTCCTCTTCGAGTATATTATTTTGGCAATAGCAGCTCATAAAACCAGCTGCTAAAAGTATAAAGAGTTTGTGATTTCATCCTTAGCAGAAGTACCCACGCTGAGGAAACTACACATCTTTTGAAAAGTGCAATCTTCATGGTATCTAACATACCATGCATACACTTAATGCCAAGCTTTTAGTCTGGGGAAAAAAATCTCTTATTGGAGACTTGATTTTCTTGTAGATTATCCAATTCATTTTTCTTCCATTTTACAGATAAGGAAACTGGCTGAAAGAGCTTAAGTGACTCATCCAAACTTACACGACCAGCTAGCAGCAGAGCCCGTGCTAAGATGCTGGTCTCTTCATTCCCAGCCCTGTCCTTCCTTGGGTTGTGTTTCTGCAGTTCTGTTTGCCTGTTTACCATCACAGTGTGGTTTAGATGGCCAGAGGAGGAACTACTTACATAGTATCTCTCTCCCTCTCTCTTTCTCTTCTCTCTCTCTCTCTCTCTCTCTCTCTCTCTCTCTCTCTCTCTCCCTCTCTCCCTCCTGCTGTGCTTGATTTGTAATCTCTCTCAGCTTTCACTGTTCTCTGTTACTTAGCTATTCTGTTAGATTTGCAAATGTCAAGGTCTTTCCCAGGGCAAAGTGCCCCTTAGAGAGAGAATGACAATTTTCATGCCATGCAGACAGATCGGTTTCTCTTTTTCTCCAGAAAACTCCTGTTGTACCTACTCATATTTTCTCTTTTATATTGGGGATAATCCCTGCTGTGGGTGGTGACCAAATACAACCATTATGTTGTTCCCAGTGATCAAACTCTAATCTACTGAATACTCACTCAGTGTCCTTTTACAAAGTAATTGTTCAGGAAGAAAAACTGGATTTTTGCTAAATTGATTACAGAGCTAGTTTTATAGCCATCTAGCACACTGTCTTCTCTTTGAAGGTCCCAACTTTATAAATTTTAAGAGTCTGGTTTGACTGAATTGGATTGTCAGCAAGGAATACCATTGGTTTTAATGGAGACTTAATAATCAACTTCTATTAAAATAACTAAGAGATTCAGTTTACAAGTACATGTTATACATTTAGATGTATAGAGAAATAAAGCAAACAGTGAGTTAAAGAAAACAAATTTCTGTCACTAAATACTTGGTTACCTAACTAAGATTGCTTTTCTGTATGAGAATGAAAAGTAAGGAATTCTTCTTTATAGTAACTATCTAACCTATCTAGACCAAAGCCCAGGACAATATATAACAATATTGGTGGTGTTATCTTCAAGTAAGGATAATAATAACATTAATTTATTTTAAATATGAAGTATCTTTTTTCCCAAAACTTAATTGTTTTAAAATATTGGTCTTGGGCACAGCCACAATGGATGAGATAATAAGTTCAAGATGGCAATAACCTTCACTAAATTATTTGTATATGAAGACTGTGCTATTCTTTTGAATTGAGACTTCAAAGTGGACACATTTTTAAACTTCAAATGCTGAGTTACTAAATAATATTTATTCCCTCTGGGCTTGATAGAATTGTGTATGCCAAGGGAGTTGATAATTAATTATTTAACAATTGGAGAGCAGCCGAAAATATGGTATAATAGTCATAAATCTTTTGTCAGTTATAACTGGAAAAGCAAGGCATCACTTCAACAGAATCCATTACTTACTACTTCAAGATCATTTTGGGGTTTCTGTTAGCGGTTTTCATTTTCCTTTGTTTTCTACCTTGACTCACATTTTCCTAGAGAATTTCATTTCCCTAGTACTTTACTAGTACTTTTAGTCAATTCCTTGTAATTCCATACAGTTGTCCAATCCCTGCCTACTTGTTTCCATCATTCCATTCCATTCAGGATGAAGCTATGGCTATCTTAATAAAAAATCTTCACTTTTTCACCAAGTACATTTTTCTTAATGAGATCACAGAAAAAGATCTTGCCATAAACCAGCCTCAGACAATGACTAGCTGTGTAGCCCTGGGCTAATCACTTCATCTCTAGTTGCCTCAGCTTCCTCGTCTGTAAAATGGGGATAATAACAACACCTCCCTCCCAGGGTCGCTGTTAGAATCAAATGAGATAATTAAGTGTAAAGCACTCCAAACAACTTGTTTCTCTCCTTCCTTCCTAAGCATAAGTACCTTGTCGTTGTAGGAGCTAGAAAGGGAGAGTTGATGCAGGAGATTTCTGATCAGTTGAGTTCCTCCCAGCCCACTTGATGAAATTACATATTGAAGAGGCCTAACAGAGAAAATTAGTTTTTATGATAGTACTTTGTAAAGTGTGTCCCCTTTCATATTTTGAGTAAATCCTTTGTACTTTGGCAAGTGGGACCATTAGGTCCCACCCTGAATGACCTATTCACAGATAATAAAGGAAGCTAAAGGATTTTTTGTAACTCTTGATGCTTTAGGATGTATGAAAAAATACTACTCAGTATGATGGAAGTATAGGCTGGCTAGCCATTGGCTGATGGACCAGCCACACCCCTGGTGGCCTTTAAAAATCCAACCATTTCTGCAGAGAAGCAATCGCTAAGGAGTCTGGTGGGGGAGTCAAGATAGTTATGAAGAAAGCCACCTATGAAGGAAGACTCTAGCTCTTGAGAGGAAATCATTCTCAGTATTTTCCATTGCAATTCTTAGAGTCTAATGAGTGGTAGGAGAGGGTTTCTCTCTCTTCCCTCCCCCCCACCCCCACTGATAACAGTACCTGGCTGTGGAACAGCTCACCCAGCTGGAGGCACTGTACCCTGCAAAGAGCAGGTCCAGAAGGTCCATTTATGTAGTTAAGATGAAGTTATCACTCACTGGCAATCAGTAGAAGAGCTATGATACAATGCCCAAAGGGGAGCAGCATGAAGACATCACAAGGAAAAACATTGCTTCAGCACCCAAAGCATGAATCACCTTGACCTTGTGTAATCCTTAGTGTGTACCTAGTGAACTCTGCGTAAGTATTCACTCTTCCTACTGGTGATGTATGTATTTGCAAAAGAATACACTGCAGCTTTATGGTGGAAATGTTTTGTTACTACTTTACATTCTGTGCCATTTTAGTAAATGCCTTTACTTTGAACTAAGTGTGTCAGCTGGCTAACTCTTGAAAGTAAGCTCATTGGTAGGGGCTTTCAAGCTATGTAATTTTAGCAGGATAGACCCCCAGTGTACCTTGAACCTGGTGCAGTCGTAGGAACATAGATTTAGCACTAAAAGGTTTCTCAAAGGCCATCCAGTCCAACCCCTTCATTTTACAGATAAGAAAATGACTACTCATAGATGTTAAGTGACTTGCCCAAATTCACACAGATAAGAAATAAGAGGTAGATTTTAAACCCAGGTCATCTGACTCCAGAGTCAGTGTTCTTTCTTTTTGCCCTTTGAGACCCAACCTACAAATGTGAGTTAAGGGGGGTGGGAAGGGGGGAAGCAGCTGGCTGTAGGTCTCCTCTGCAGTCATTTAATACTCATTATAGTAGTGAAAATTGACAAGATACATATAGGGTAAATTGGATTTAATTTCAGAGGAAAGGCACTGAGGGGGACCAGGAAAGGCTTCTTGTAGAAGGTGGGACTTAAGCAAAGACATGAAGGAAACTAGAGAAGCTACGAGGTGGAGATGAGGAGCAAGAGGATTTCAGGCATGGCAGACAGCCAGTGAAAAACGTTGAGTCTGGAGATGTGGGTGTTATGTGCTAGGAACAGCAAGGAGGTTAGTGGAATGAATATTTGGAGGAGATTAAGGTGTAAGAAGACTTTTCGAGTGAGGGTGAGGCCAGATTTTAAAAGCCAAATGGAGAAATTTATATTTGATCCTGGAGGCATGGGAAGCAAATGGAGTTAATTGAATAGAGAGGTAAGCTGTTGAAATAATTCAGGTGTAAGGTGATGAGGGCCTGCATTGGGTAGTGGCAATGTTAGGTGAGAAAAGGAGGCATATATGAGAGATGTTACAAAGGTAGAAGTGACAAGGCTTGGCAGTTGATTGGATGGTTGGGAGGAGGAGGGAGGTGAGAGAGTGAGAACTAGGAAATTACTCCTAGGCATCTAGCCTGGGTGACTGGAAGGATGGTGGTACCCTCAATAAAGGAAGAACACTGCCTTTAGAATATATGGTGAAAAGCTTTGGGATATATCTGTTTGATGTCTGAATCAGTCACCAAACATATCTTAAGCACCTACTACGTGTTAAGGACTGTTAGACTTTGAAGATACAAAGGATGAAACAATCCTTACTCTCAAAGAGTCTACATTGTAATGGGGAAGACAAGTACATATATACAGACAGCATAAATTTAAAGTTAATAAGTGCAAATATATAGAAAATTAAATACAAGGTAGTCTGGAAGAGAGGACATTAATGGGGGAAGGGAGGAGGAGGAAAGGGAATTGGGCGGGGGAGGCAAGGAAAGGCTTCTTGTAGACGATGGTTCTTAAGATGTACCATAAAGCAGAGGTGAGGAGGGAGTACATTCCAGGCAAGGGCAATGGTCACTGAAGATGTGTGGGAGAAGTCTGGCTGGATTGCAAAGTGCCAGAGGAAGAGGATGGGAAGAGATGTTAGAACCAAGTTATGAAGGTCTTTAAAAGGGGTAAAGCGAAGACTTTATTTTTGATCCTAGAGGCAATAGGGAGCCACTGGAATTTGTTGAGCACAGTGATATGGTCACATCTCTGCTTAAGAAAAATCACTTTGACAGCAGTGTAGACAAAGGACTAGAATAGTGACAGACTTATAACTGGGAGATTAAGTAGGTGGCCATTGTAATAATGTAGGCAAGAGATATTGATGGTCTGAACCAAGTTGCTGGCTATGCAAGTAGAAGGGGTTGGATGCAAGATTTGTCGTGGAAGTAGAATCAGCAAGATTTGGAGGTTGATTGGATGTGGGCTAAGGGAGAGTGAGTATAAACTTGTGAGACTGGAAGAATAGTGGTCCCTTCAGCGGAAATTGGGAAGTTTGAATGAATTATAGGCTCAGGGGAAAGATAATGATTTCTGGTTTTGGACGCATTGAATTTGAGATACCTCCAAGACTTCCAGCTTATAATGTTCAGTAGGCAATTTGTGATGCAAGACTCAAGCACAAAGGTGAAAGGTAAGAAAAGAAGGCAGTCTGAGCCTTGTGATGGGGCATTATGTGGAGGATGATCCAGCAAAGGAGACTGAGAAGTGGCTTAACCAGAGAGAGGACAACCAGGAGAGAACAGTGTGAGAGTAAGAGAAAGTGGTCAACAGTGTCAGACCTTTCAGAGAGGTCAAGAAGGACAAGGCCCGAAACAAAAAAAGGCTATCGGATTTGGCTTCTAAGAGATCACTAGTAACTTTGGAGGAAGCAGTTTCAGTAACGAAGTGGTGTCCTGGGAAGCCTCATTTTAAAAGATTGAGGAGAGAAAAAAGAGGAAATGGAGACAAGGAGTGTAGACAACTCTTTTTAACAGGAGTTTGATTGAGAAAGGGAAGAGATGGAACCCGAGGTGAAAGTTTTTAAGGACAGATGTGTTTCTTAATGTACAAAACTTGCCTGTGCCACATGTCATTTCTATAAACAAAGCCAAACACAACCACTGCCTGCATGTATATGTATATGTGTACATATAAATTGTATATGTATACATATATGTGATACAGATATATACTTGATATAGATTAGTTAATTGGTAAACATTGATGCTAGCCTCACAGGGGTGTTCAGTCCTGTACTTTTGCTATCTATTTTGGTGTACTCATCTTCCCTCCCTCATTCTCTTCCCCTCCTTCTTCCCCTTGCTGTCCTCCTCCCTCTGTGTGTATTTATATATGTGTATGTATCATGTGTGTATATACGATACTCACACATTTGTATATACAAAATCCATATATATACTACACGTGTATTATAGATGTATATATATCATTTCCCTCATTATCCTTACCTCTTCTTTTCTCCCTCTATTTTTCTCCCTATATCTGTCTCCCTCCCTCTTTCTTCCTTTCACTCCTTCTTGTTCTATCTCTTTTTCTTTTTCTCCCTCGCTTTCTAAGGGTTTTTGCTTCATTTACTAATGCAAAGTGTATTTTTGTTGAATTTCACCTCAAGCAGAGTGAGATCTCAAATTGTTGTTCTGTACTTTGGTCTTAGAAGATGGTATGATGGTCACACTGCAGAACTGGACAATGTTTTAAACATGAGTACAAATGGTATAACATATTGGTCTTTTCTGAATACCACTTGAAATTTTTACTTGAAATAAATGAAAATACACAAAAAACTGGGCTCAGACATTAATGAAACAAGTGTCTGGTTTTCTCATTGAAATTCATACTTTTGGCTTTTAAGTTACAGTTTCCTCAGGGAATTAAAAACTACTTTCCTGTTGTTTTTAAAGTAATTCATGTCATTTTTTTTTTCCCTCTACTTCTTTTAGGATTGACTGATACTAATGAGATATTGAATAAGAGTAATTCCTGATCTCTTTTCTTTTTTTAATAAAATCTTTCTGTCTTCACTGAGGAGCTTTTTTCTCTTCTCAGCAAGTAGTCCTGTGATTTAGTAATATGTAAAATGATTTTTTAAAAAATAGTTAACAGTGGCTGACTCTTGATTTCTTAGTATTCATCAATGGAATATTTTTATTTTTCATTTTCATTATAAATGAACATTTAATATTGAATACTTACTAAGTACATCCCATGAACAAAATATTCTATATCTGAAATTCTTTTAATTTTTATATTGTACTTTTCCTTTTCAGATTTTTTGTGGACCTGCATTGTACAAGAGACAAGTCCTTCCTCACCATAAATAGTAATAGCAAGACCACTTCTGAAGTGTGGTTGGTGGATTGTCACCAGCCTTGGAATCCACCAGTCCTTGTCCAAAAGAGAAATCCTGGGGTGATGTACCATATTGAGCACAGAAACAGTGAGTTATATATTCTCACAAATTATGGAGAGCCTGCAGAATATAAGGTAATATCTCTTTCCTCTGACCTCTGTCTTAAGCACTTTATGTACTGAGTGCTCCTCGAATGCTTTAAAACAAATCTTCAGCTTTAATGTCTAATGTTCATTTTTGAAAAATACATCGTTAAGTACTAAACATACATATCTGTATTTTCCACTCCCTTCTTCCTATCTTTCCTGTTATTGTTGAGGGTGCCACCATCCCTCTAGTCATGTAGGCTAGAAACTTCAACTCCTCTCTCTCATACCCCATATCCAATCAACTGCCAAATCTTGTTGTTCCTACTTTTGTAACATCTCTCCTCTGACACGGCAACTGCTCCCCTTTAGGCCCTCATCACCTCACACCTGGACTATTGCAATAGTCTGTTATTTGGTCTCCCTGTCTCAAGTCTCTCCCCACTACAATCCATTTTTTTTTAGGCATTCTGGGTTAAGTGAGTTGCCCAGGGTCACATAGCTAGTAAGTGTCTGAGTCTAGATTTGAACTCAGGTTCTCCTGACTCTAGGGCCAGTGCTCTATCCACTGCACCACCTAGCTGCCCCTACAGTCCATTCTTTACTAAGTTGTCAAACTGATTTTCCTAAAATGTAGATCTGACTGTGTCTGCTACCCCTACCCCCCTATTCAGTTAACTCCAGTAGCTCCCTATTGCTTCCAATGTGTGTTTCGTGTTGTCTCCCCCATTAACTTGGTAGCTCCTCAGGGGCAGAGACTGTCTTTTGCCTTTCTTTGTAAACCCTGCACTTAGCACAGTGTCTGACACAGGGTAAGTGCTTAATTGACTGACTTTAGCATAAACATGACCTTTTAGTTCTTCTAGTTATTTTTGTAACTCTTCTCTTGAGTCGCTCCCTTATTGTATGAATTGATTGTGCCCTGCCAAGCCATAGTCTTACATTTCCTGCCATCCCCTGCCTTTGCTCCTACACATGTGCTACTGAACAAAGGTGGAAAAAAACTTGGGATTTATGTTACACAACCTCAACTGAGCTCTACCTCCCTTATTAACTCACTGTCCCACGCTCCACAGCGGCTGTCTCATACCTTTTCATTTCTTCTCAAGCCTCCCATGGCTCCCCCAACTCTCTCAACTGAAAACCTGGCCTCATATTTTACAGAAAAAAATTAAGGCTCTCTCTTCTCCCTTCTCTCTCATCTATTACTCAGATGCCTTCTGCCAGTCTCTCCTCCTTCACCCATCTCACCTGAAGATGTGTGCTTACTCCTTTCCAAGACTAAGCCCCCTATCTGCACAAGCAATCCCATTCCTTCCCATCTCTTCTAACAGATTGCCTCCTCTGTCACCTTCCCTGTTGGGGATGTGAGAGTGACATCCCTTGTCTTCAAGCTCTTCCTGTCTGTTGGCCCCTTCCCTGCTGCCTCTAGTCATACCCGTGTCTCCCCCATTCTCAGAAAATTCTCACTTGATCCTTCCATCCCTGCTGACTATGATACTGCATCTCTCCTGCCCTTTGTGACTAAATGCCTTAAAAAAAGCCATCTGCAATAGGTACCTCCATTTTCTCTCTTCTCGCTCTCTTCTAAACCCCTTAGAATCCAGCATCAAACCTCATCATCCCCCCCAAAATTGCTCTCTCCAAAGTTGCCAGTGATCTCTTAATTGACAAATCCAATGACCTTTTTTCAGTCCTCATTATCTTTGACCTCTTTTCAGCCTCTGACACCATTAATCATCCTTTTCTCCTTCATACTCTCTTCTCTCTCTGTTTTTGAGACAACACTCTTTCCTGGGTCTCCTACCTATTCGACCACTCTTTCTCAGTCTCTTTTGCTGCATCTTCTAGAGCACATCCTATAACCATAGCTGTCCTACAAGGTTCTATCCTGAGTCGTCTTCTATTTTCCCTGTGTACTGTTTCACTTGGTGATCTCACCAGTTCCCATGGATTTAATTATCTAATCTTTATGCTGATGTTTCTCAAATCTACCTTTCCTGCCCCTGTATCTCTGCTAACCTCACATCTCCATCCCCAACTGCATCTTATGCATCTTAAACTGGATAGCCAGAAGACATCTTAAACTCATCATGCCCAAAAACTAAACTCATTATCTTTCCTGCTCAAACCTCCCCTGCCTCCTAACTTCCCTGTTACTATAGAGGGCAACATCCTCCCATTCCTCAAGTTCACAGCCTCGGAATCATCCTTGACTGCTCACTCTAGCTCACCCCCCATATCCAATCTGTTGCCAAAACCTGTTGGTTTTACCTTTGCAACAATTTCTCAAATATTCGCCCTCTCCTCTGACACTGCCACCGTTCTAGTGCAGGTCCTCACCACCTTAGTCCTACATTATTGCAGTAGCCTGCTACTTGTTCTCCCTGCAAGTGTCTCCTCACTCTAGTCCATCCTCCATGCAGCCAACAAAGTGATTTTCCTAAAGGGCAAGTATAACCATGTCACCCTCCTACTTAGTAAATCCCAGTGGACAAGTACAAAATCCTCTGTTTGGCATTCAAAGCTCTTCATAACCTTGCTGCCTCCTACTTTTTGAGTATCCACACACCATATCCTGCCTCAGACATTTGCTTGTCGTGTGATCTCAACCTTAAGTCATTTAACCTTCTGGGCCTCAGTTTGCTCATTCATAAAAGTGTAAGTTTTATACTCATTATCCTCCATGATCCCCTCTAACTCTGAATCGATGATCTGCTATTGTAGTTTCTTATAAAAGATGAAGTGGAGACACTAAAACTCCAATGAATGTCTGGTTCTTCCTTTCATATGATGCTAAGGAGCACTACTTAGGAAACAGTGAAAGGTGTCTAGGCTTTGGTCACAGATGCCCCCTTTACCTCGATACTTTGCTATTTGGATTTCTTGCTATTTTTCTAGCTCTGTTCTGTCAATTTGCTTCTATGCAGTTAATGAAGACATCAGTCAATTCCCTTACTATGAAGAATTGGCGACTTATTTATGCATTGAAGAGAAAAACCAAGCTTATTGACATGGTGATGTTCAAGGATCACTGTGTTATGTTTCTGAAATACTGCAATCAACTTTATCTCAATACAATTTCCTTAAATGATCATTCAGTTCAGTCTCTCAAGGTATGTTTCATTTTTAATAGTTAAAAGCTAATCAAAATACACAGTTGGTTTATCTGAACAGAATATGAAATATAAAATATTTTAAACATAAGATTAATGTATTGGCATTATTTATATTGTGATATATTGAAGCCATGTAATAACTTTTTTCTCTTAGAAGAACCTGGTGCAATATAGATCTATAATGGTACTTATTTATAGAAGCATCAAGACTTCACTATAATATTATGTTATTGTGAAACTTCAGTGTAATTCTATTTCTTTTCCAGTTGGCAGCTTTGTGACCTTGAAGAAGTCACTATCTCTGAGCATCAGTTTATTCATTTGTAAAATGGTGGTAGAGGCTGGATTATATGATCTCTGAGACACTTTCCAGCCCCGTGACTACAAATCATATTTACAGTGTATCTAGAAACTGAGAGGAGGAAGAGTTTAGCTCTGAAATGTCTGCATGAATCCTTGGCATGTTCATGGCAATTTCCATTAGCTGTTTCTTGTTTTCTATTACTCCTTTCAAAGTTTTCCTCTCAGTTGTTTTCCTCTTCCCTCCCCCCCCCACAATGATTTGCACCAGATTCAGGTAACTGGAGTTGGTGGTACTTTAATGGTATTTGACCTCAATACTAATTTGCTCTTATAGTGTTATTTGAAAGTATTCCTGATTTTCTTCCCTGTTTATATGTAGCATCTCTCCAGTGTTTAAGCTCCATGAAAGCTGGGGACATGTCTTTAATTTCTTTTATGACATCTACATTCTCCAGTGCCTTTATAGAACCCTGAATCATAATTATGATTACATATTTATTGACACATGTGGCCTCATTTGGGGCCAAATACTCTATAAAAGAGTATTTTGAAGTCCTTCTCCCTGCCCTCTGGGTACTTGCAGACACACTTATTCACAGCTACAGCAAGCAGCAGATCAGAACAGATGGTTATGCCAAACTGAGTTTTGATGTAAGACCTTTATTTCAAGCATGACATTCCTACTTAGTGAGGATTCAAACATTTATGGCTGAGGAGAAAGATTGTTTTAAATTCAGCCTCAGTGAAGGAAATGCTGCTATAATGGCACAAGATACCATTTAGCAAAGTCCTATGTTCCTCTTAATAAATTTCCTGTCCTCAGTGCTCACTCTTTCATTATTTGCTGGAATTTTATGTTCAGTTTCTTTTCTGTTCCATTTGTTAAAGGGAAAACATCAGTAGGATTTAGTTCTGTTTTTAATGATTGTCTCTTGTGAATGTTGAGCATTAAATGACATGTTGACATAATTTTATATTGGTGCTAACCTTAGTTTTATTTGGAGATTTTTGCAAAATCAAGCCATTGTTTTAAAATCACTTAACAAGAATAGAGAATATGCTAACACATGAATATCACATCTTCAAACTTTAGTTAATCCATGGTTGCTTCTTGGTTCTGAGCTGTGACTATTATTTATTACTATTAGAAACTTCCTATCTAGGATGATATCAGTTTGTCCCAGTATGGTGTGTTCTGAGTCACATTTTCATTAGAGGGAATAAATTGTGCCCATTTATACACACTCCTAGCTCCTTCCCTTCTAACCCATGACTGTTATACCTGAAACAGCTGACTGGACTCAGAAAAGCATAGTCCTTGACCATGGAAGAATTTTGTTTTCCTCCCCAGTGTCCCCTGTCTCCTATGGAAAATAAACTTTCAGACTTAACCTCAGCAACATTACAAAATTCATACTTGTTAGGGCTACTAGATTATAACCAAAAAGGCCAGAAAGGAAGACCACCACGTGAGCACCTTAATGTGTTTTTTAACATCTTATCAATAGTACAAAAGAGTTTGTGTGGTGGACAGAGGAACTTGCATTTGGAATAGGGATAGAAGGCGTTTTTCCATCACGCCTTCCCTCCGAATCAGTCAGCCGAGTCTGTTTGCCCATTCCTACAGGTGACTAATGGTACACTCCTCACACATCCCTAGTTGTCCTCTGTGAGGAGAGCCCACCATCAGGGATGGTGCTGTGCCAGACTGCTGATTTTCTAAGGAATTTGCACTTTTCACAATTATGCAGGAAAGGGAATTCAATTTTCTTTTAACACTTTGACTCTCAATGCCATTTCTGAAGCATCTGTCCACCTGCTAACCAGAGCTCCTTAAAGGATGTAAAGGGAGTGCTGGGAGAAGGCTTGAAGCTGGACCCTGCTGCTCTCAGAGAATGAATCTTGATTCCTTTCACTTTTCATTGAGTTAAGAATTTTAAGCATAATAGCCATGAGTTTGAGGAAGGATGTGCCAAGAAAAGGTTTTGTTCTCTACAATGGTTAGCCTGGGGGCCAAAGTGAGAAACAGGGATTTTAAACGGCTGAGCGCTGCTGGGGCAACTTAGCCCTAGAGTAATAACAGCCGTTGCTGTGGCTTCAGTCCAGGCTGTTCAGGAAACAGGACACAGGCTTGGGAGCAGATCAGAAACATGAAAAGTTAGGAGGACATGGACGGGCCTTTAGGCCTGTGAGCATTTTAACCATTTTTTAAAAAATTTATAACCCTTATTCGTGTCCCCAGATCAGCATTTCAGTACAGGAGATTGTGCCTAGATCATGATAAACCACAGTGTTAGAGTTGTGTTTTCATAGATCTTTGAGTGCTGCCTTAGAAATGTAGGGACCCTGGAGATCATGTAAACAAAATCACTCATTTTTCAAGTGAGGAAACAGTCCAAAGAGTTTAACTAACTTGCCCAAAATCACACAGGTATTAGTATGAAGGAGCGGTGTCAGCATTTGAACCTGAGTCCTTGGAACATAATCTGTTCTCCTTCTATTACTCTTTTTCTCTTCATAATATTTAAGAGCCTTGAAAATCATTTTTCTTTCCCATTTGTAATGGTCACATAGTTATTATGTCATCTCGTCATAGTCATTTCAGTTATTTGAAATAGTTTTGCTACTTCAAAATACGGATTTTATGGGCAATTCAGCAGAATCTGAATTAAATAAAACTTGGTTTCATGCCTAAAGCTGAGCCCAGAAGTGGTGTTAAGAATTCTGAGGAGCCAAAGGAAAGAATAAAATGCACATCTGATCTCTTCAGCTCCCCGCATGGGCCTGTGCGTGCCAGCTGGACCCCCAGCCACAGGACAGCGGCAGTGACGCCTGCTCTTTTCAGCTCTCCTCTCCTGTGCATCCTCCAAGGCATTTTTTATATATGTTAGGAAAAGGCAGTCTCTATGAGCAAGCTGAGCAAGAGGAACCTGTTGTGACAGATTGTCACATGGCACGTTTAGAAGCAAAAAGCAAGGTAAGTTTTTATAACTTCTCTTTTAAAATGGTAACAAGAAAGGGAAAAATAACGATAGATATCACTGTTCCAAGTAAACTCAGTATTCACAATTTCGATTGGTTTGTCAGAATGATAAAAATAAGAGATCTAGTCTATCAGGTATAACCTGACGCCTTGAATTTAAGGAATGCTCAAGCTGTAATATCTTGTGTATTAGATTGACGGCCCAGATCTACTAAACTTAGCATATTTGTTTACAGTGAAAAGGAGAAAAAAGAAAGTTCTGGAAACCATAGATGTTAGGTCAAAAGATTTCCCCTTGCATTAAGGGAAGGAGTAAGTGATCTGTTTGTTGGGCACTGCTGTAATTCCCAGCACATATATTTTTGGTGTGCCACAATGACCAGCCTGCATAGGCTCTACACCGCCTTTCTTGTCATAAGGAGTTTCTCATAGAAATGCTTCTTTGGATAGAGAAGGAGATGGGGAGAGAGAGCAGCCACATGTGTTTTTATAGAAATTCACTTAGCAGCTTGTTTTTGCTAAAATGTATACTGTGTTCCATAAAGTGAGGGTTGTATCTGTTGGACTTTCAGAAAGAAATAATAGAATGACCTAAGTCAAATGTAAAATAGAGATTTAGAGCCCCAGTTTTACAATACTCCTATGGTAACTTCACTGATCTTAGATGTTTGCAATAAGTAAGAGTATCAGGGGAAAAAGTAATTTAAAGTCACACTCCTTTTAAGAATATAAAAGTGGGTAACATTAAATCAAACAGTAATATGTCCCAGTTCCAAAATGGTTAGTAATCACAGTTACAGTGACATAAAAGGAACTGTCCAGCTTTGTCTACTTACTTTTTTTTCATATGTTGTTACTAGTCTGATAATAAAAGATGAGAAATAATAGTATCCAGCATTGGCATTATAAGTAAAATACTGGGCTGGCAGTTTATCGGTTTATAAATAATATTGGCATAACCTGGGACAGGGATTTAAAAGAAAAATTTTTGATGAATTATAGCAATATTAAACAATAAAGTGTCTTTAAGCCGGTAAGTAATATTTTCATCTCTCTTTAATTAATACATATTGGGTGATACTACTAGAGAAAAGTCTCAGACAACAGGGATTCTGTTACACTTTTGGAAATCCATCTATCCTAAATGTAAGTCAGGAAACAATGTGAGGCTCTCTGTCAGAGAAAATTACTCTCTAATAAAAGAAATGTATGTCAAATGAAACCAAATTTAAAACAAGAAAAAAATCTTTTTTAAAGAAAAATCATTATGGGTTTTTTTGTTTTACAAAAGTAATTGTTTATGTTGAAAACATTCTTTCATTTCCAGGATGGAACTTTAGTACCAGTGACAATATTTTATAAAAGAAATTCTGAGATCTTACAGAAAAAACCTCTTCTTATTCATGTATATGGAGCTTATGGGATAGATTTAAACATGAATTTCAAAGCTGAGAATCAGATGTTAATTGAAGATGGATGGATATTAGCTTATTGTCATGTTAGGTAAGTCAGCACATAATTTTATTTCATTTGAAGTATAAAGCATAGGGACAGAGTCCAGAATTATATTGAAACTAATAACTACAATTTAGATATGACTTTAAGGTTTCAGTTTTCCACTTACATTGCTGAATTTATGTATTCTTCTCTTACCACATACTTTACTAAATCTGTGCTATCTATTGACCTGATTAACAAAGTTGATCTGAAACACTCAAGTTTCCATATTTGGTTGCCTACTGAATGATTGATTCCATTCAAGTCCTTTCAAGCTTTGGTTTTCCTATGATACTCTCCATTTCTCAGACAGCCCTATTTTAGAAAGTGAACTGGCCTTTGGTTCACACTTTTGCCCTTTCTACCTTATACAGTTCCCAGTTCTGAATATATATATTTGTTATCTCCCAATTATGTATTAATTCCACTTGGATTTGCCAAATATCCACAAGAATGCATGTTTTTAAAGTAGTATCATCTACCGTATATTCCTCATGTATTTTTTTCCCTTGTTTCAGAGGTGGAGGTGAATTAGGCCTTAACTGGCATGCTGGTGGCTGTCTGAACAATAAACTCAACGGCCTTGCTGACTTAGAGGCTTGTATAAAGTTCCTTCACAACCTGGGATTTTCTAAACCTGCATCTACAGCCCTTACAACTTACAGTGCTGGAGGTATCCTAGCAGGAGCATTGTGTAATACCAACCCCAGACTCATTAGGGCTGTGGCTTTACAGGTGAGTCAGCTCTGAGTCCTAGAGTGATAAAATATTTGAACTAGAAGAAAAGAGAAATTGGTTACTCTAAGAAATAGAAATACTTGGAGAATCAAAATAGTTAAAAACCTAACGTACGGCAGGAATAGGATGCAATAGTTACTAATTTTTTCCTTTTAAAAGGTTTGATTCTAAGAATTATAGATTAGGAAATTATCTACAAATATCCATTTAGGCCAACACTCTGCCCCCTCCAGTGCAGAACATATGTTACTACTTTCAGAGTTTTTCTGGGACAGAGGTGGTACCAGAGAGTTAAAAACCAGCATGCTCCATGATGGACCTGCCTGGATCGGCCTTTCAGTTCCACTTAGCCATTCTGTTGTCCTGCTACCTGGACTTGGGACATCTGTGGAAGCAGTTATGATGCCTTTAGCCTTCATGAAGAGAGGGGTGGTTCCTCTTTCTCGTCATGAGGATGTTCTGTCCTTGACTGTTTTTCTGTTCCTCTTCTTAAGTTGTAAGTTCCTTGGATTTGGGCATCTTTGTAGCTCTGTACCAAACAGAGGACCTTAAGTCATTGTCTGAATTAAATTGTTCCTATTGTCTGTCCCTGCTTCCTGATAGAAACAGTGGCTGGTACCACCTCGTTTATTCTCTTGCCTTCGGAATGACTGCTTTTAGGAGCATAGCAATGTCAAATAGTGACTTTTGCGTGAAAGAATGTATGAATTCTCTTCAGAATTAGATTGGTCTTTGGAAAACATGAATGAATTCAAGTCACCCTTCATTTTATTTTATAAGGCTCTCAGTTGTTTACATCTTGAATAGTTTATGCCTGAACTACTTTAGTTTTACGCTATATATTTATAATATTCCCAAATTCTGCATTATTAATTCACATTTTCTTATATTCAGCATAACTTTCAAACAAACTTTCTTATAAATGTTGACCTCTACACTGTACACCTGCTGTAGAACTAAATAAATTCTAATGGAGAATTTTTAAAATAATTTAAAAAGTCTTAACCATTTACTAATTGCTTTGTTTCTAAGACTTCTTAACTTTTTTCCATAAAAACTTGTCTGAGTCTTTTTTTTATCAAGACTCCCTGTACTAAAAAAGGTTCAGATTTAAACCAAACAATTCAAACCTGATTGAATTTATATTCTTTTTTGTTAAAGGTACGATTCCATAAAATGGACTTATATATAGCAATACAGATGTATTGACTATAAGTGTATAGACTTTACAATAGGTAAGGACGTAGACGATACACTGTACAATATATTTTAAGAATATAGTCATTCCATTGGCCCTGAAAACATATTTTTTCAATAACTTCATTTATCACTGAATAAAATTGAAATGAATCTGTAAAGAACCTGTGACTCCCAGCCGGCTGTATTTCCTAACTGTCATCGTCATCTCCCGATCTCAGTCTCGTCCTTGTCCACGACTCCTTGAGCTGTGGCAGGCTGTGCACCAGCCCCACTCACCTGACCTGTGTAAGAAATGATGCCTCTTCTGGGCCAGTCTTCACAGTTCCAGTCTTGTACAGCTTTACAAGTGGTACTCCCAGCGACACTGGCCTCAGTGCCACTCTCTGGGTTCATCATCTCAGAATTTTTTTCAGTTAGAGCTTCTCTTTTCAATCATCCAGAAAATCGCCATAGGGAAAGAAAGCCTTCCAGGGTTCAGGACGAAAGTCGTCCAAGCCTTGTAGATGAGTGGGCATGTGAGGCATGACAGCAGCCGTGGGAGAGGCACCAAGGTGCCCAGGCGCCAGAGAAAAGGGACATGGCTTCCAGGCAGCTTCCTCAGTACTTTGTATTTATTAGAAACCACTGGAAAGGTGGAACTGGGTAAATTATTCCATGTCCAGATTTGTTGGCAGGCACACAACCCAGGGCTCTTGGCTTCCAGGCACTGTGCCCTTCTCTTCCCACTCACCGTCACAGGCATGGCACATCCTAAGTGTTCTGAGCTCGTTCTGCCACCCTCCTCAGTCAAGCCCATGATATGCTGCTCGTGTTTAGGCGCCTTTTCTGGACATTCTTACTACCATGTTGGACATGCAGCTTCCTCTGACCAGGGAAGAACTCGAGGAGTGGGGAGACCCTTCGTCTGATGACAAATACATGGACTACATAAAAAGTTACTGTCCCTACCAGAACATCAGACCCCAGGTAATAAAAGCCAGTCATGTTACTCTGCCTCATGTAAGTAATATAAAAGGGTACTCAGCAAGTATGTCACATTTAAATAACATAGAAACTAGTCAACAAGTATGTTTATGCAGTTAAGTGTCCAAGTAGACAGAGTGCGGCCCTAGAATCAAGAAGACCTGAGTTCAAATGCGGGCTGAAGACACTTACTAGCTGTGTGATCCTGGGCAAGTCACTTAACCTTTGTCCACCTCAGTTTCTTTGACTATAAAATGGGGAAAATAACAGCACCCACCTTGCAGGGTTGTGTGAAGACCAAACAAGATGATAATTGTAGAGCACTCAGCACAGTGGCTGGCATATAGTAAGTGTGGAGATAGAGATAGCTAGGAATGCATGCTTTTTCCCTTCATACATTTCTGCCTGGCTGCATTTTAATGTTTATGGACATCACAGCTTGATTAAGTAAAGGCGACTGTCACATATCTCTGTAAATCTCATACAGATCTTGAATAGCAATAATTAATGTGAAGCACTTTTTCTTCCTCACAATAAAGGTACTCAATAATTATTTTTAGTAATTTAATAATGAGTTGTAAAAAGGCAAACCAAACAAAAAAATAATTCGCTTTGTAAATCTGTCTTCTTTTAGACTTATCCTTCAATTATAATCACAGCCTATGAAAATGATCAACGTGTACCTCTAAAAGGAATATTAAAATATACTCAGAGACTCAGAAAAGTTATCATGGATCAAAGACACAACAGAGATCATGGTATGAAAATATGCCTAAAAACTTGACTGGTTAAGTATGCCTACAACCCAACTCAAATCATGCTGCTCCTAGTAATACTTTTAATTATATAATGGTTTTTAATATTTGTGTCCCCATGATTTAGGAGAAATAATTTTTTTCTTGTACTTAGTATTCAGTTAAACTATGTATAAGCACTTTCCTACGTGGGGTTGAAGAATCTGTTAGCCTTACCCTCAGTATCCGTCACATACGTGTATGGGCTGTTAGATATCTCCTCAGTGCTATGTTGTGGAAAGCAAAGAAAGCTTTGCTTAGGGACAAATGTTTCAGAATATCTAAATGGCATTACACACAAAAATAATACTTTTAACTAGTCTTAATTTTGTGGTCTTTCTAATGTGTTCTGTGCCTAATGTCCTCAAAATAGCACTCTTAAATCACTGTGACTGATGAACAACATAAATAGTTAACTTCAAGGTGAGGTCATAAAAATGTGTAAAAATTGACTCCATAAAAAATAAAACAATTTGAGAAATAAGCATTGCCAATTTTCTAAAAATATTACCAATAATTAGTTATCTGGGCAGCTGTGAGATGTCAAGAATTGCTGAAACAGGAACATCATGTCCAGTTTTCTTAACTGGTAAACAACAGTCTGTGGCAAAGCTTTTATTCCCTGTTCCTAGTTTCCCTCAGCCTTGTGCTTTTCTTCTTCTTAATCTGAAAGAAGAATGGAAGAGAATCTTGAGAGCCCAGCAATAGGTGTTGGCTCTCTAGGGATAAGATGTTGATGGTTTTGCTGGTTTGTTTTCCCCAAAATCTCTTATACCACAAAACAGACCTCCCCATCTGGCTCTTTTAGTGATAGAGAAACCCTGTAGTAGCCACTAAAAGAACAGCAACAAGACCATAAACTTATTAGTAACAGAGGAAAATAACTGAAAGTAGCATTTGGTCCCATTGGCAGAAGAGCTCGAGGAAGCCTAGTGAGTCTGTCCACAGATAAGAAACAACCAGGAGAGCAAATTGGTCAAGGGACTGAGTGGACCTCACCAGCCAGCTGGAAGTCAGCAATTATTTATCAATCGCTTATTATATGTCCTGGGCAGATGACAGTAATAGAATGGGTTAAACCAAATACCTACAACTTTTTTTTTTTTTTTTGGCTAGGCAAAATTGGGGTTAAGTGACTTGCCCAGGGTCACACAGCTAGTGACAAGTGTCTGGTCTGAGACTGGATTTGAACTCAGGTCTTCCTGACGCCAGGGCTGGTGCTCTATCTGCTGTACCCCCTAGCTGCCCCTACTTTTTGATCTTTTCATATCATAACTACATTACAATAGTCTCCCAAAGGAGTTGATGAAGTTAGCAAGCATTTACTAATCACTTAGTATGTGCCAAGTGCTGTGCCCTTGCCCTCAAGAAGCTCGTGTTCCAGGCAGGGAGGCCACATGCAAATAACCAGCTGCCTACAGAGTAAATGGAATGTGATCTCAGAAAGGACACTGTGGAAGCCTCCTTCAGAAGGTGGGGTTTGAGCTGGGTCTTGAACAAAGGAAGACTGACATGTGTCAGATACGGGGCAGAGCATCACAGGCACGGGTAGCCAGGAAAAAAGGCATGGAGACTCCTAAGACAATGTTGTGTTCAAGGAACAGCATTTAGTCCAATAGGTCTATATACATATACATACATATAGAGAGAGAGAGAAAAGAGATCAGGACAGAGCCTTGGGAGACAGGCCCTTAGAGGGCATGACATGGAGAACCAGCAAAGGGGGAGACTAAGAAGGAGAGATTGAGTCAATAGGAGAGACCAGTGTCCCAAAACCCAGAAGAGAGAGTATCCAGGAAGAGAAGGCAATCACAGTGTCCAATGGTGCTTCAAGGTCAACAGGGATGAGGATTGAGAAAAGGCCATTCAATTTTAACATTAGATTAGATTTAGGGATCACTGGTAACTTGGGACAGAGCATTTAAGATAAATGTTGGGTCAGGAGGCAGATTGCAGAGTTCAGAAGACAGTGAGAGGAGGAATGGAAGCAGATTATAAACAGCTTTCTCAAGGAATTTAGCCACAAAGAGGAGAACGGTACAATGGTAATGAGGAGGGTAGGGTTAAGTTAGGCGGTTGTTGTTGGGTTTTGTTTTTTTTAAAAGGATGGGAATATTTGTATCCATCAGGTAAGGAGTCAGTAAATAGGGGGAGATCAAAGATAAGAGAGAAAGTGGGGGTGGTAGAGATAATTTGCTGAAGAATTTGGGAGGGGGTGGGATCAAGAGCACATATAGAGGAGTTGGCCTTGACGGGAGAGGGGCCGCTTCGTGTGAGACAAGAGTAAAAAAGATGATGGGGGAGAATATCTGGATTATGTGAGATGAAAAGGAGTAGAGAAGGAGGAACTCAGGGCAAATAGCCTCAGATTTTTCAGTGAAGTGTGAGTCAGGAGCTTACAGGGAATAGGGGGTTTTGTGAGAAGGTTGAGGAAAGATGAGAAGATTTGGAACAAACCAGATGGAAGTGAGGGGGTAGAGGGAAAAGGAAAAAGCACTGATTAAGCACCTCTCATGTGCCAGGTACTGTGCTAAGCACATTACAAATGTCATCTTGCTTGATCCTCACAATAGCCTTGTAAGTGTGAGGTCAGATGAAAGAGTAGGTCATGGGTATTGGATAGAGAACTAAGAAAGTAGGGTATTTGATTGAGCACCACTATGACGAGTATATATGCTGAACTCTCCTAGTATGAGGGCAGGAGAAGATGACAGGTATACAAGTATACAGCTTCAGCAGTATCCATCTTCACATCAGAAGTAAAGCTACTGGTGTAGGACTTCAGCCATTAGCGTAACTATCCACCTTCTGATCCCCTATCTTATATTGCTTACACCCTCTTGGCAACATCACTGTCTCTTCTCCTTCCCTCTGATTATATAGAAGAGTATCCCTTCTACTCATTAGGCTAAATAAATTCTTTCTGTCTTTGCTCCAACAGTCATCAATCTCAGACATCTTCAATCTCTTTCTTACAAGTGGCTCTGTCCCATCTGCCTCTTACCTCAGTCAGTCAGTAAGCAATTATTAGGTGTCTGCTGTGTGCCAGGCAGTATGCTAAGTGCTGGAAATACGAACAGAGGCAAAAGACAGTCCCTGCCCTTGAAGATTAATAGGAAATAATAGGGAAGGTGCTAGAATTAAGATGGGTTGGTGAAGGCTTCTCATAGAATGTGAGATTTTGATTGGGACTTAAAAGAAGCCAGAAGGCAGAGAGATGGAAGGGGCATTCTAGTCCTCAGAAAATGCTGGGGGCAGAGATATAGAGTGTCTTGTTGGTGGAACAACAAAGGAAGCCAATGTCACCACACGGTGGGGAGTAAGGTGTGGGAAAACTCAAAAGGTGGAAGGGGGTATGAAAAGTACTAATTGATGAAGGGGTTTGGATGACAAGCAGACGATTTTGTATTTGATCCTAAAGGTGATAAGAAGGCACTGGAGTTTATTGAATAAGGGAGTGACTCATTCTGGTAGCTATAAGTGAAAGGTGAGTTGGAGTGGGGAAAGAAATGTGGCAGGCAGACACATTCCCCCCTTGACTCTTCAGACTTTGCCATATCCCAGGAACCTCTGTCTCCTACCCAGATTTTCCATTTCCTTTTATGTGTTGTCTTCCTCCATTGAAATGTAAGCTCCCTGAAGGCAGGAGCCATTTTTATTTCTTTCTCCTTGTATTTGTATTCCTGGTGCTCGGCACAGTGCCTGGCCCTTAGTAAACACTTCATAAATACTTCTCAACTCTACTCGACTGTGGGAGGCAGCACAGTACTGTAGAAAGTACCACAGTATTCAGAGTCAGAAGACTTGGGTCTAAGCCCTTGTTTTTCCATTTATTAACCACATGACTGTAGGCAAGTCACTTGCCCTCTCTAAGGCCTCTTTCCTCCTCTGTAAAATTCAGGGATTAGATCAGATAGATGACTACCAAAGTCCTCTCCAGCTGTCAGTCTGTGTGCCATTCCCACTAAATCATGCTGCCTCCTATAGAGAAATGGAATAGGATTATCTACATTCAATTCAAGAGGGGTCGAGAAGATTTAGCTGCTAAACTTCTTTTAAAAAATCATCTACATCTGTTGCCTCTGCTTCCTTATTCCCTGGCAATGAAGCTTCCACCCTCTGCCCTCTCCTGGAATTGTCTCCTATAAACTTCTGGGTATCAGTAGTCGTAACTACTGTTCTTTAAGTTTAGTGGGATATACATAGACAGTCTATCCGTTTTCAGCTTCAAGTCCTTTGGTTAGATTTGCAAGAATTCAGACACATACATTCTCACCAGCCCTTGTTAGGTACATTCCATCTCCGGCCACAAGGTTAGGCCATATGTACTCCTACGTAATTGAAGCCATGGTCCAGAAATCAAAAATTCACATTGAGACACCAGTTTATTAACCAGCTGTTGACATCTCAAATCTACCTCTCTTTTCTGGGTCCCTTACTTTCGATAGGTAGCAATGATTAAATCATCACCCTTATGCCCCTAAAGTCTTCCATTTGTTGACCAAGACTTAATAATCTTTAGGAATGCTTTCTAGATTTCTTCTGGCAGTATCAGTTGGACCCACATCAATCACCAGAAGTGGATAGTAGTATTCCAATTTGAAATCTTGGGAAATACTTTCATGTCTTGGATACATGTCCACCCCTTGCAGAAAGCAGGTCTTTTTGTTGATATAAGGTCAACAGGTGGCTACCGTAGTAGCCAGGGCAAGGAGTCACTAACCACCACTACTCATCTCTTCTTCCTATAATCCTCCCTGATTGGCCTCTTACCTGATAACACCTATGGAAAAAACATCTTTGGAAATAAGCAGCTTCCACCTCTTCATGAGAAGCCCTTATATTTGTTTCTAAGCTCCAAGTCTTCAATGGTCCTTCTTTTAACTTGTAGCCCCCAGAGATAGGTCAGGATTCTCCTCTGCTTCTTCAAATGCCTTTTTATTTGTTTGTCTTTTAATGAACACTTCATTCTTTGTGTTAAAATGTATCTATTTAACTCCTCTTGTAGGAGACCAGCCTGCACTATGAATATAGATAAGTGTCTTATGTCTGAGACAGAATGCAGATACCACATATTTAATGCAAGCCACTGCATAATTCTTCCTAACCTCTGTATTACTGGAAATGAGAGATTCAGTCCCTGTCTTCCTTGACCTTGACTCCCTTGACTCCTTGACTCCCTTCACAGCACCACTATTGCAAACCACTTGGGTGAGGGTTCGTCAAATTCTTCTCACCTCATTGACAGTTGACAGGAACACCCACTTTCTAGCCTTCTTTCTTCTTCAGCTCCTTCCTATTTCTCAAGTCTTCTCGGGTTTCCTTTGTGCAAATTCAGTTTTCTGGCCTCTTCCATCATTTCAAAGCCCTCTAAATCACCTTCTCAAGTGAGTAGCAGCAATATTAGAACATAGTTCCCTAAGTGATATATTTGCTTAAACCACAGCATTTTTTTTTAATAATAGCAAAGAATGCAAGGATCTGTGCTTTCATCATTGTGGGAAATTCCTGTAATGAGAGCTCCTTAAAGCAATGCAGATCTGTAACTTAAGTCATAAGCCTAAGTAGATTAAGTCCTAGGTTGATGTCCGAGGATCACAGAGGTTGAATGACTTGCTAACTAGTGGGATTTGAATTTAGGTCTTCCTGATTCCAGGCCCAGTGTTCTGTCCCTTATGCCATGCTACCTCTCAACAGAGACTCCAGATTAAATACATTTTCCAGTCTTGACCTTGGAAGGCATTTAAGGAAAAAATAGCACTTCTTGTTAGAGAAATGGGTGACTGCAGATAGTGGGGTGTTATATACATTGTTAGACATGGTTGCTGCATTGATCATTTTGCTTGACTGTTTTTCTTTTGTTACAAAGATTCTATGGGGGAAAGGCTAAAGGATGTGATGGATTGGGAAATGACATGTAAAAAAATGAAAGGAGTCAAATCATTTAAAAAAAAAATACAATAGCAAATCAGGGCCCAGAAACAGGTAGAAATTAGAATCAAGATTTCTGGATTCTGTTTCCTGCCCTTCCCACAAGGAATATTTTTTTTTTTTTTGGCTAGGCATTGGGGTTAAGTGACTTGCCCAGGGTCACACTGCTAGTAAGTGTTATGTGCCTGAGGCTGGATTTGAACTCAGGTCCTCCTGAATCCAGGGCCGGTGCTCTATCCACTGCGCCACTTAAATGCCCCTCCACAAGGAATATTAGAAGGCTTCTTAGCAGCTGCCTGAACTCACAGTAGTTCCTCTAGCAGGAACTTTGACTAATTGAACACAGTCCTCAATTCACTTTTCCATAGCTGTTTCTAGCAAGGCGTGGGAGGTGGCTAGCAGTCACAGAGCTTGAAAGGACAGGGTGTCCACCTTGGCTCAGTGGCAAGACTGTCAGTTTAGCATACGCACATACACCAACCTCACAGACAACCTGCATGTCCTTCTGTACCCTCTCGGGGAATAATATCAAGACCTGAATGAGGAATCACTCTATCATTTTATTACTGAAAAGTCAGTAAGCTCCCCCTCTGGTTATGATTTTTCTTATTTACTGATTTTAAATGTACTTTCAGGAAGAAAGATTATTTTAGATGTTCAGACTGGAGGAAGCCATGCTGCAGCTTTTTGGGAGGACTCCATAATTGAGGTATGTTGCAAATTCCTCATCCAATAAAAACATAGTTATTATTCCCAGCAAATAAGGACCATCTCCTATCCCATGAGGACAAATTGTTTTAGAGATGGCCTTCTCAGCTTCTTACTCTGAGGGCTACCAATAGGCTTAAGGCATAATCACAGGAGAATGTAAAAGGAGAAAAAGAAATGGAGTGAGAACAGTAGAAGAGATGAGCAAGTACAGTAAGAAAGAATGCCTTCCATATACAGTGATGGAAGGTGCTCATCAGAGGGACAGACTTTCATGTGTGATGGTCCATAGCACAAGTCAGCTCCCTTGTTTGAAGAGAGCAGTAGGATAAGACAGCCTGACCTGTGGCGTATCACTTTAGAGCGTCTCACGTGTTTAAATTTTGTTTGTTCTAGGTTGCCAAACATCTTGCTTTTCTGTACAAAGAGCTTGGACTTGGTGACACTGGTCCCCTCAACTAATACTCATTTTAAGACAAGATGGATGCTTAACTATGTCTCATGCAGTGGCGTTGAGTGCCCCAGAAATGGAGTAAGTTACAGTCTCATGCTCCATTGGGCTTGGCAGAGCTCAGTGTGTCAGAGTGTGACGTGCTTATGAATTCTCTCGCCCATCAAAAGCCTTGTCTGTGCCTAGGGCAGGACTTCGCCCTCCCATCCACTGATGCCCAGAAGCTCCTTCCCTCGGATCTGTTTGTTCTTGGCTCCATCTTCCTTTCTTAGAGTTTGGGAAGGTAGCAAAAGCAGTCCAACTGAGAACAGAGGAAAGCTTTTAGGTTTATTTGGTTTTTTCCTATGCCTAAACTGATTGAAACAAGATAAAATTCTTCGCATTGAAATTAATAAACTAAGACCCCCTGATCATCTCTCATTGATTTTTTAAATGTTTTTATTAATTTATTTATTTTTTGTTTTCAACATTCATTTCCATAAGTTTTTGAGTTTTAAATTTTCTCCCCCTCCCACTTCTTCCCTCCCCCCCCACCCAAGACAGCATACAATCTGATATAGTCTCTACATACACATTCATGTTAAGCATATTTTCCCATTAGTCATGATGTAAAGAACAATTAGAACTAAGGGGAGGAACCACGAGAATGAAGCAATAAAACAAAAACAAAGGAAAAGGAGAGCAAATAGTATGTTTCCATCTGCATTGAGACTCCATAGTTCTTTCTCTGGCTATGGAGCCTCTCATTGATTTTTGAGGTGCATCTAGGTGGGGCAGTGAAGAGAGCATGGCACTTGGGGTCAGATAAGAGCTCACAGCCTGCCTCAGTCACTTAATAGCTGTGTGACTCTAGGCAAGTCACTTAACCTCTCAGCTTCAGTTTCCTCATCTGTAAAATGGGGACAATAGTACCTATCTCACAGGGTTTTTGTGAGGATTAAATGAGATGACATCTATAAAGCTCTTTGCTAACCTTAAAGTGCTAAACAAATGCTCTTAACAAGCCCTTTAATTTCATTGGTATAAGAACTCCTGATGAAGAAACTCCTGCAATGCAATTTTGCAAATTATAGTTGCTGAGGACCTCAGGGCTTGGTCATCCAGTGCCTGGAGTGGAGGGCTTCTTAACTTTAAGGCTGGCTCTATCCAATATGCCACACTACCTCACTTCTCATTGAATACTGTTTCAATAAATAACTTCTCAGGGATGATTTTCTTTTCTATATTTACTGCATTTTAAGAGTATTGGACAACTTTTCTAAAGCCCCTAAATTCAAGCTGTAGAAATTCTTAAGAATTATAATTAATCAGCGTTCATTATGTTTACTAAAGTCCATCAAGCTGAAGGTGAAGTGACTGCTTAAGTCTGAGGTAAAAATGACCGATGACAGCATCTCAGCAAGAATTGTACAAGATATTTAAGAAACTGGAATAACATGCTTTGCTTGAAACAAGACACTTGTCTTTGAAGGCTTCTTGATGGTGCAGGAGTGTGGGCATTCTGTGCTCCAGAATGAGGCCTTCCCCCTTCTCGGTTCTCACTGCAGCTGTGGCCACAGTCTGACCTTGGTTGGTGAACGTGGTACTCAGCTTTATGCTTGCTTTCTCTGGCAGTCCTATAGAAAGACCCTGCAAATTCACCTCTGTTGTTTCTCCAAAATTCAGCACTATGGTAAAGACTCTGTCTAGACCGTCAAGTTCTCTCATGTACACCAGAACGTTAGCGTCGTCCCAAATGTAGCACAGCCATCCCCGGCTAAGGAGCAGGTCAGTGAGACGCAGGGAGCTTAATTCTTGATACAGCTTCAGTGGGGAAGTGGCTTGATTCTTCTGAACCTGTTTTTTAAAAAAGTTTGATCAGGTAAATGTAATTATAACATTTAAAAAATATTTACAGGATATACAAGGAACTTATTTCCCAAATACATCTTGTAGTTACATTTTGAAATAAAGTATTATGGTTGTGATATAATAAGTAAGTCTCTTGGGAATAGAAATATAGATCCACCTTGCCTTTTCAGTTGCTCCCTTTCTCCCAGTTGCAAACTGCTATGAAAAAAAGACTGACAGCTGACATTTACACAGAGTTTTCAGGTTCTCAAGCATTTTTGTACATTTTTTTTGTTCATTCTCCCAACAGCCCTATAAAAGGAAACTACAACAGGAGTTATCCCTGTTTTACAGATGCAGAAATTGAGATGAAGAGAAGTTAAGAGATTTTTCCCACTATGAGAATCACAAGATCCTGACTCTCAAGCCCAGTCATCCTGCCTCTACACTGTGCTGACACTCGGTGATCTGTGACTCGCTTTACCTAGTATCCTACCTGAGCCCCACCACAGATCCACCCTGGGAGCTATGAAGGTTCAGAGATGTTATGTGGCTTGCTCGTGGTCATATGGCCAATAAGTGTGGGAGGTGAGATTCCAACAAGTCTTCCTGAGATGTACTGTCTCACACACGACTCCATTTGTTTCGAGCCTTCGCCCTCCAAACAAATAGCACATTTGTTGCCAAAATGGCCAGGTCTTAGTCCAAGACCCAAAATAAATATCAGAGAACCCTAAGAATATCTAAACTAGGCACTGAAAGTGATGAAAGTGAGCTCATCAACTACATTCACCTTTTAGAGAGAGACCCGTACACTGTGCCCTGAGGACTTGATAGAGAACTCTTCCAGCTAATGGGTCCTGCTGACTCCCTGCAGTAAAGATTCCTGATGGGAATTACTACTAATTAACTGAATGACTTATGAGCATTGACCCGCAAGTCAAGGAAGATCGAGGTTTCAGAGTATGGCCATATCATTTGCCAGCTATGGCACCAAGGGCAAACCCTTTAACTTCTCTGTAAATCAAAGACTTACATAGCTGTGAAGTGAGGATAATAATTTTATCGAGGATTTTAAAGGTTGTGCTTTTGGAAAGGCAACATGACCTACTGGGACGCGGCCCTGGGTATGGAGTCAGGATCACTAGCGGGGTAGCCCTGAGCAAGCCTCTTGAACTCTCTGGGCCTTGGGGCCTTCTCTTTAGAATAGATGGCCTCAGAGGCTGCTTCTGTCTATAAATCACTTTTCTGCATCACCATTTTCTCATCTGTAAAAGGGGAATACTTGCACAACATGTTGCACAGCACTGATGCAAACAAAGTGATTTGTACACCTTAAAGTGCTGTACAAATACCAGTTGTTACCTACAACTGGGAAACGTACTGTTTGAGAAATTTTGTGTCTTTAAATGTAAATTTGTCAAACTTTTTGTTGCTATAACATTGGAAGATATTAACATCACCCCTAGTGAACTACTTAAAAAACCTTGACTCCCTGCTCTCCTGGTCATACCAAGTGGCCCCCATTGTTACACATAAACAGCCTTGCTATCAAATACACATAGTTTTAAAGTTCTTTTTCCTACTTTGCTTAGTATGTAATAGTCTAAAACAGAACTTCTACCTTCATATCTCAGCTCTAAGGAATTATCAATATGTGACGTTGACTGGTGACCGGTGAAACTTACTCGTGACATTTCAATGTTTTAACTCCAAACGAAGAAAAATGATGACCTCAGAATGTAAATTCCCTGAGGTCAGGAACTGTTTTTATTTTTTGTCTTTGTATCCCCAGTGTTTAGCACCATGTCTTGGCACGTAGGTGCAACACATTAATAAATGCTTAATACTAGAGAAAGTTTACTACAAAGTATGACTTTAAAGAGTCTGTAATTACATTGTGTTTATACACAGTAGGGAGGTATGGAAAATTACCACCCAATTAGCAAAAAAGCCGAAGTTGGACCAGAAATGAGCAAGACGAATCACATGTATGTTCACAACATTTTTGATTTTCAGAATCCATCCAATTATTTGGCAGATTTAGCACTTACATCAACATTCAGAACCTGGTAATCTGTATTAGTGGGTAGCCAGGTTTGATTCCCTTTACTAAAACCAGCATTGGAGCTGTTATCCCACTGCATTGGTGACTTTGAAAGCAGGCTCTAGAAAACAAACAAATGAACAAAATGTCAATATGTAATCACGTTCTAAAAATTCTCATAAACATTGCTTCATCTTAAATTATAGTAACTACCACATACTAGGAGCTCAATATTTGTTAGACTACTCAGTCCATTCATCATTTCCAGTATAGTACTTCAGAAATATGTAGCTGCAAATAAATTTACTTTCAAGAAATTATTTGAAATATGTAACATTTCGTGATGTTAGTTTTAACCTATGGTCTGTTGTAGCAGCATTTATCCAACCAGTTTATTGCATAAATTTCATTTCTGGGCTTTGTTGAGTTTAATATTCTAGGCCCTAAATAACAGAAAATCCACCTTAATCTAATATTAGGAAATTGGGCTATATGCAGTCAAAACAAGCATTCATTCAGGAAACAGCTGATATGGGGGCCAGTGTCTAGAAGAGATTTCATCTACTCTCAGACTTGAGGATTTAGGCTCAATGTGTGTCCATCCATGTAACTATGAGGAGGTGACCTCATTTTGTACCAAATACCACATTTGGTCATGCAGAAGAATAAAAGAATGATTTATGCCATCTGCTTTGGAAATGAAATGTGGCAGAACAAAGATTGGAAAAACAAATAGTTTCATTTGGCTCCTTTTCAGAAGGCAGAGTAAGGCCATAGGAACTCTAATACTATCACCTTAAATTTATGTAGCACTTTACAGTTTACAAAGCACTTTGTTCCTCACAAAAACTCTGTGACCTAAACAGGGCAAAAATCACCCCTATTTTAGATAGAGGGGGAAGAAGACTCCCCAGAAGCTAAATGAGTCGCCCAAGTACACAGGCCTGGAAAGGGGCAGGGCCAGGGCTGGAGTCCAAGGAAGGCCACAGGCCTAATCCAGCTTACATTCCAACAAACCTTGCTGACCCTCATAAAAGTTACGATACTGAGTTGGTATTCACTAAGCTAATAAAACATGATCTTTCTCTGGCTTAATAAGCATATGTTTACTACTGAAATATTTAAGCTATATTATACTTACAGTATCATAGCTTCCAGTTATACTTGTTGCTAAAATATCTTCCATTCCTATTTCTTCACCATAGTAAGTTATAGGTGTCCCAGGAAGTGTTAAGACTAGCATATTCATGACGTTGACATAGTCTTTTCCAAAACGAGAAGTTAACCGAGTAGTGTCAGGTCCTCCGATCTAAAAATTAAGTATTTATAAAAATACAATCCAAAGTACATTCCAGCATCTGGTCCCCGTCCCATTCTGAATTAAATTTAATAGCAAAAATTAGCTTTATAAAAGAATTTCAGCATTCTAGAAGGATTGCATATGCAATATATACATTTTATGCATATGTGTAGATATAGATGTATGTAATAACATGTTTAGGTAATATTGGGACAATGTAATGTAACTCTTCTGTACTCTAAATGACAGATTGGAAGGTAGAAAAAAAAGCAAATATTTCAGATATAAAGCTCCCTATTTCTGCTACTATTAACACAGAAGAACAAGATTACCTTTATAATTACATTTTAATTGGTTATTATAACATTTATTTTCAAAATTTGTAATTTCTCAGAAAATGAGATAGGTTTCTTTCTACATCCTTTTCATTATCTTGAGGGATTATGGCAAGTTCCTGAATGCCAATTCAAGCCTTCCAGGGAAATCTCTGATTCTGAACTGTTAGAAATATTTTCAACTTCAGTCACCTCACCAAGCAATAGTAACTGACAAGTGTTCCTGCCCATTATAGATTTCATCCAAATGATAAATGGGCATAATCACAGCTCTGGGTTTTGGGTTTTTTTTTTTCCCCAATGTTTGGTATACTAACCAGACTGTATGATGAAATAACTCATTGTGTGTGGCAATTGCCATTAATGCATATTTAAAACTAACACAGGAGCTAAGAGGTCACTCCCATTCTAGCTAAGGAGTAGTAAGTCATCACCCTCTGAACAGGGCAAAGGGAATGTCATGTGGCCAAGAGCAGTGTGAAATGCTTAGAGAATTCAAAAACAGGGAAAGAGCCTGGGGAAAGACGGAGCTGCCTGGAGCTGGACCCTGAAGGTTGGCTAAGATTCGGATGTTCTCTTTCCAATGACATGGCCATCCCACAAACACAGCTACTGTAAAACCCATAGGAATCAAGATAGAAATAATATAGCTTTATATAACAGTACTCCTAAGAGGCCAGGGAGTTTCTTCAACTGAACGCCCAAAACATAGAATGTTTCTTTATACTCTTTCCTGTTGTTACCATCCTTCAACTGGCTCTCCAAGAAATCTGAATTACCCCCTTATTTTTGGGGCTGTCAGGAAACCCGCCTTCCAATATTTCAACTCTAATATATCCATCATTTTAAAAGTATGTTAGGGGGGCAGCTGGGTGGCACAGCAGATAGAGCTCTGGCCTTGGAGTCAGGAAGATGTGAGTTCAAATTCGGCCTCAGACACTTGACACTTACTAGCTGTGTGACCCTGGGCAAGTCACTTAACCCTGATTGCCTCACCCAAAAAAAAAAAGTACATTAGAAACTAAAGGAAACAGTAAAAATAAAACTAAAGTACAGAAGCTTCAGATGATCAAATATATAAAGTCAGATCTTCAGACAACCCTGCCCTCAAGAAGATTACACCTTGGTTGAGGAGATAAGATAAAGTTGTCAAGTTAAGCAGTAAAATACTTTTTAAATTAACTCTAACAATTCAACAAGTAAACATAATTAAATCATGTATAAAACCCTAGCCAAACAAACTGGTAACAAAAAATGTTTTGTGTCTCCTTCCAAGTCTGAGGTTTCCTTCCTTTTGGCTAAAACAAAATATTGAGAGGACAAAGAAGAGAGTAAAATACTAATCATCACCAAATGAGTTTAATAGAAATAACTGTCAAAGTCCAGAAGAAAGAGAGAACTGCTTTAGGCAGGGAAGGCCTTTGCAGGGGAAGTAGAAATTGTCCTTGATCAACAAAAAAGGAGACAAAGAATAAGTAGAGAAGGGAGATGTTTTCTCCAGTCACTATAACTTATACTGCTCTCCTTTCTCTATACTCCTATAATTTTCACAGTCTATAACAGTTTCTTTCTAGGTGTATTTTCTCCTCTTTGAGATCATAAACTCTGGGGCAAGCGGACAGGGATTTTGGATTCTGTGCTGCTTTTATGGTTATATTTGTAGGTTAGATTTGAATACATATTTGAATGTTTTTTATTTTTAAAATGTTAATTTTTAAAATTATATTTCCTGTGCTCCATTAGACTGTGAGTTCCTTGAGAACATGGACTTTTTCACCTTTCTTCTTATCCCCAGTGCTTAGCACGGTACCTGGCACAAACTCGGCTCTTAACAAATGCTTCCTTACAGAATAGAGTCCTTTTGGGATCTCAGGAGAATGTATTATATGTAAATTCGCATCTGGTTTTAGGAATGAATCTCTATCGGGGCCACGTTACAGAACGCAGAATTATGGGTATTTCCTAGGATCAAGTTGAATGCTTACCATCCAGTTGGGCCACTTTCCTTCGGGCATGTTCTTCATCCAGGATGCTACAACTTCAAATACCTTGGTTCCAGAGAGAGTATTCATTTCCGTGAGGTAATAATTGAAGGGGAAATCTGCTTCTTGGACAAAAGGCTTTCCATAGTACATCATGGTTTCTTCAATGCCTTCCTGGTCACTTGGATCAGTTCCCATAAATCTGCAAAAGATTAAAAAAAAAAAGGTTTTAATTTTCCCCAATATTGACACAGTGTTCATGTTAATTGGACATAAAGCCTTGAGTAGACTCAAGCTGTATTTATATATAGTATACAAGGTCATGTGGATTTCATACAGAGGGGATTTGCTAGAAGTTTCATGAAAGCCAGTGCCAAAAAAGCAGAAAAAAAATTATGCAATATGCCACATTTTCCAACAACTTAGAAATCATTTCGAATGGACTTAAGAGACCAAACTTAAGTGCTAGATTAAACAGCTTAAAAATGGGAGGGGAGGGGGAAAATGTTATTTGAGCCAGTCAACCCTCCCCTCTCTTAAAATGTGGCAAAAAACTCCTGGCTCACCACTAGTACCTGCCTTATAGGGTTGTCATGAGGCTCAAATGAAATGACATATGTGCTTTGCAAACTTTAAAGACGTTGCTGTATGTCTGCTATGTTGATGATGATGATAAAGTTTTCCTATATATATCCTTCATCACTTCAGTCTTTCCAGAGCTCCTTCATTACATTACATTCATTACATTAATATGTACTGCTGACCTGTTTTTCAGCACTCTATGTATATGTTCTAATATCCTCCATAAATATTCATCCCCACAATAATGAGACTTTAAGCTTCCAGAAGGTAAGCATATGTCTTCTTTTGTAATCCTATAGAAACTAATTGGGGATTTTACAGAACGTGTGTATGTAATAAATGTTTTTTACTTTGTATACCATAGTGATTCATAACACAACTGGTGATGTAAGAAAATATATTTGTCTGCAACATACCAAATTGCCATTAAATGGTAATTTTAGAATTTTGTTTCCTTTTTTCTTTTTTTGGGGGGGAGTGCTAGGCAATGGGGTTAAGTGACTTTCCCAGGGTCACACAGCTAGTGAGTGTTATGTGTCTGAGGCCAGATTTGAACTCAGGTCTTCCTGAATCCAGGGCCAGTGCTCTATCCACTGCGCCACCTAACTGCCCCAGAACTTTGTTTTCTATAATAGATCTGCCCACTTCACTCCCCTACTCAAAAATCTTCAATGGTTCTCCATTACTTCTAGGACAAAACAAAAAAGTCCTTAGAGTAGCTTTCAAAGTCCCCCATATTCTGGTCCTTTCTAGTCTTGCTTCATATTGCTCTAATTTCATAATAATTTCAATTCCA